CTTGGAAAGACAAGAGTTGGTAAAAGTGCTACCATCAATTCAATATTTGATGAAGTCAAGTTTGGTATCGATGCTTTCCAGACAGGTACAAAGAAGGTTCAGGATGTTGTGGGTACGGTACATGGTATAAAGGTCCGTGTAATTGATACACCAGGCCTTCTTCCTTCCTGGTCTGACCAATGCCAGAATGAGTAGATCCTTCGCTCTGTTAAAAGTTTCATCAAGAAACACCTCCATATTTTGTACCTTGATAGGTTGGACATGCAAACCAGGGATTTTGGTGATATGCCCCTCTTGCGTACCATCACTGAGATCTTTGGTCCATCTATATGGTTTAATGCAATTGTGGTTTTGACTCATGCAGCTTCTGCTCCACCTGATGGTCCAAATGGTACTGCTTCTAGTTATGACATGTTTGTCACTCAACGTTCTCATGTTGTCCAGCAGGCTATTCGTCAGGCAGCTGGGGATATGCGGCTCATGAATCCTGTTTCGTTAGTGGAGAATCACGCTGCATGTAGAACAAATAGGGCAGGTCAGAGAGTTGCCTAATGGTCAGGTCTGGAAGCCTCATTTGTTGTTGCTTTCCTTTGCATCCAAAATTCTGGCTGAAGCAAATACACTTTTGAAGTTGCAAGATACTCCTCCAGGAAAGCCTTTTGCTACTCGAACAAGAGCACCTCCTTTACCTTTCCTTCTTTCATCACTTCTTCAATCAAGACCACAAGTTAAGCTGCCTGAAGAGCAGTATGGTGATGAGGATGATTAGATGATGATTTGGATGAATCCTCAGACTCTGAGGAAGAACCGGAATATGATGAGTTGCCACCTTTCAAGCAGTTGACTAAAGCACAAATAGCAAAGCTTAGTAAAGCTCAGAAGAAGGCATATTTTGATGAGTTAGAATATAGGGAAAAACTTTTTATGAAAAAGCAACTGAAGGAAGAGAAACAGCGGCGAAAGATGATGAAGAAAATGGCTGCTGCAGCTAAGGATCTGCCAAGTGAGTATGGTGAAAATGCAGAAGAAGAAAATAGTGGTGCTTCTTCTGTTCCGGTTCCCATGCCAGATTTAGCGTTGCCTGCTTCTTTTGATTCAGATAATCCTACTCATCGCTATCGTTCCCTTGATTCCTCCAACCCATGGCTTGTGAGGCCTGTTCTAGATACTCATGGTTGGGATCACGATGTAGGTTACGAAGGTATTAATGTAGAAAGACTGCTTGTTGCTAAAGATAAATTTCCTATTTCATTTTCTGGCCAGATTACCAAGGACAAAAGGGATGCCAATGTCCAAATGGAATTGACAAGTTCTTTAAAGCATGGGGAAGGTAAAGCAACTTCAGTGGGGTTTGATATGCAGACTGTTGGAAAGGACATAGCCTATACACTGCGCAGCGATACCAGGTTTAGTAATCTCAAGAAGAATAAGGCTACAGCAGGAATCTCGGTTACTCTCTTGGGTGATGCACTGTCGGCTGGTGTGAAAGTTGAAGACAAATTGATTGCTAATAAGCAGTTCCAGGTAGATGACTGGAGGTGCCATGAATGGTCGTGGTGATCTCGCTTATGGGGGCTTGGAAGCCCAATTGAGGGATAAAGATTACCCCCTGGGTCGCTCATTGTCTACTCTTGGTCTATCTATAATGGATTGGCATGGAGATCTTGCCATGGGATGCAATATACAGTCACAAGTGCCCATTGGACGGTCTACAAACCTAATAGCTCGTGGCAATCTGAATAACAAAGGTGCAGGACAAGTCGGTTTGCGACTAAATAGCTCGGAACAGCTACAGCTTGCTTTGATTGCTCTCTTTCCATTACTGAAAAAGCTATTTGATTTTCCCCATCAAATGCAATATGGGCAATAATGAGAATTAGGATGCAGTGGATAAGACATTTTTAAAATGGCCATCTCTATGTGGGTCTTTGAAGAGTGTGAGTGAAGCTCTGAAAGTAGGGTGCTGAAAATTTTCCATCATTTTTCTTTTAATCTTTGCTCTGATTATATAGTGATTGTAGTTTCTTTGTTTAGATATTTTGCATAATAAGGTTATTTTTTGTTCCCATGAAACCATGTCCAATCAACAAGTGCTTCTTTTCTCACTTGCCTACATCATTAATATATATATGGCTCAACTACCAACATAAATGATTTATGTGCGAACGTAGCACAGGATTGTAATATGGCTCAAGATTGTATATTCTTCTGTTCTGCTCATTAAAATGACGGTCAACTGTGAAACTCTAGCTTGATAAAACAACATAAATCTTATTAGTTTTTGGGTTCAAGCCTTGTAGGATGGAGAGCTTGAATATGTAATATTAAGCCTGAGACTACTTTGCCGCCGAGCCTCAGACACAGTAGGGGCATTTGGTACACATAATGCAAGATTATCCATTCGAAATGTTATATTATCTTGTTTGGTTTGATTCAGCAGAAATGTAAGATTATAGCGTCTGATTTGAGGAATATAAGATTATTTAGATGTATATCATATATAGTTTTTTGTATTCAAATATTTATAATTGAATATTAAAGTTTTACTTTTTGAAGAAAAAATACATTTAACATATAATTAATATAATTAGTATATCGAATTTATATTTTAAAATAAGTTTATAAGTATCATATTTATTTATATAAAATATAATATAATATGAAAAAAATAATGTTGTGGGAGTGGATAAATATATTGTTTTTTAATGTATAAGATTCATTTTTTTAATAACTCAAAGTTAAATATTATTTTAAATAATTATTTTTTTACAATAATATCATTTTCACCTCATCAAATTAAAAAATGATTAATATATTTAATATTAAAAATATAAAATAATTTTAACTACTCAAATTTATAAATATTTTTACTAAATCAAACTCTTTGTATATTATTATTATGTTTATAATTTTGAGTAAAACACCAAGAATAAAAATTGAGAATTATTCATGTGAAATTTTTTATTATTTTAGGGTTATTTTTGTCCAAAATAATGAAAATGGTATAATATCTAAGAATTTGAATGTAATAACATTTAACCAAAAGAATACTATTATCGATAATAAATTATTATCTGATAAAGAACATTTCTCTTAATAATAATGATTTTTTCCACAAACTCAACGTCCCTTTAATGTATTATATGAGTACGATCTTCGTAAATTCATACCATACAAGGGGTTTCCTTACAATTTACTTTTTAACACGGTCCTGTAAAAAATTTGAAACGAACGACTTTGAGATAATTTTATAAGATTATATTTTTTTAATATTTCAGCTTGGGGATAGATTTTTAAAAGAACAGAGTTAAAATCAAATATAGACGAGTTACACTTTACAAAAATATAAACTATTATTTTTATTATTATACTAAAATTAAAGAAATTAAATATGTAATTTTTAATATATATTGAATTGCACGTTATGTTCGTATTAAATTATATTTTCAATATAATCTAAAATATTTAAATCTATATTTTTTTATTATTTTAAAATTAAAAAATTGAATAAATTAAGTATGATACATATAAATTATATTTCATCATAGTTCAAAATATTATAACAATGGCCTGGTAGTTGCTGGCCCTTTACCGGTGATCCTGTTGAAGCACAAACGATAACATCTGGTATTCGGCTAGCGGTCGACCTTCGATACCGGCAGATCACGGTCGAAAGTGATGCCTCCAATTTGGTTGTTCAATTGCTCCAGCGTCGGATTGATCTATCAAGGTTGAGTCACGACTAGAGATTTAAATAGTGGTCTGCGACTGTAATAGCGTCCTCGATATAGCGGTAGCGATGCCCTCTGAAAACGCTATTATTTGACTGCAACACCTGTAGTCACCGCAATAGCGTTTGCTATGCCCGCGATATAGCAGTAGCGGTGCCTTCCAAAAACACGACAGCGACCATGATTTGAATTTCTGATCACAATAGTTATGTTTTTCTAGATACTTCTGTGTTTTTTTTTCATGAATGCCTAGATTTTATTTTCGATTATGTACTACAGGATGCTATTTCAGTTAATATTAAAGATGTCTTCTTTCAAAAATAAAATTATTGAATTAAAATTATATGAAATTTTGAATAAATAAATTTTAATAAAATATTGAATTATAATTTATATTCATTCACATTCTTTGCAGTTAAACTATTTTAATTTATGGATAAAGTTTTTTGGATATCTATTATTTGAGTTCACACTAATTATGCATTTTCAAATTTTAATATTTGAATTTAACTTTGGATTAAAAAATTATAACAGATTTGAACATTGTTCATTCAAATAACATATTTGTATGAATTCTAGTATCCAAAATATAATTTAAAATTTTATTTTGTATATTCAAATATTTAGCAGATAATAATATTTAATTAGAATTTAAATAACAATAACAATAAAATTATTCAAAAATAAAAACATATTTTAATCTTTAGATACAACTATGAAATTGAATAATTCAAAAATTATAGATTTTCAACCCGCTGTAATTAGTAAGTTGAAGCTAACATTAATGAAAAAGAACAGGGCTATGCTCGAAGACCCGTATTTTCATGGGTTTGGCCCATGAAGAATGGTATGCATCCATTTGGAAACAAAGGTTTGAAGTTTTAAGCCAGGGTTTTAGAAACAAAAAGGTGACGCGGTTTCTCTGCATTTTTTTTTTCAAATATAAACAAATAAACATTCCCAAATTAAATGTCCATTTACAACCCCAAATTTTAAGTCCATTACATACAAATTAGCCTACACCATTGAAGCCCAAATTCACAGCGTCTATCAACCCATTACATTGAATCTGGCAGTCCACATTTGACCCAAATTGACTTAAACCAAACATTAACCAATGACCCTAAAACACCCAAGCCCAACTGGTTGGAAGCCCTAAGAACTCATTTGTTAACATTTTGAAGAAACCTAGCAAGCTAGGATTTATTCATATCTTATTGCCGCCTCCATATGCCAGTTGTGCCTTTCCAAATTCTAGGTGGTCCCAGCAAAGCTTTCAGCAAGCCCCTAGTGCACACAGCGTTCCCAAACAAGCCAAATACTCCACGAAAACCTCTCTGCAGTTTTTAAACACTCTTCTGCTAAAATTTAATCTAATTTCCAGAAAGCTCACTAAACTTCAATCAAAATAAAAAATGGGTCTCAAGCAAGAAGATATACTTCTCAATAACAGCACGAGGAAGTAATTTTTTCTTCCATATTTATGTTATTTTTTACCAAATGTGATTTTATTTTGTTTAATTTCTAACTTCAATTTTTTGTTTATTGGGAAAACCCCATAGCTTAAATGCTTCTGAGATAGCAGTGGACAAGCAAAAGCTTGCTGCTCCAATCAAAACAGCTGTCGACAAGTTTCAACTTCTTCCGGAGTTTTTAAAGGTGGTTTGATGTTAATTTATTATTTTTTTCTATGTGAATGTGTATATGTTTTTGAACTGAATTTTGGGTTCTGGGTGAATAGGTTAGAGGGTTAGTGAAGCAGCACTTGGATTCATTTAATTATTTCGTTAATACTGGGATAAAGAAGATTGTTCGTGCCAATGACCGGATTGTGGCCGATCTTGACCCCAGTATTTACCTCAGGTTTGAAAGCATTTTTTTGTTTATTTTTTGGGTTATGATTGTTATAAATTATATTTTGCCAACTAGCTGATGCAGGTTCCGTTTGATTGTAGCTAGTTGTTATTATTATTATTTTATTTGCTTTTAAAAGCAAGATATAATCTTTTGAACAGTTAAAAATAAATAAAAGAAAGGCTTTTTTCGAATGATCACATGCTATATTACTTTTATATGGAATATTAACTTCGGATGTGTTATGGCTTAACTATTTGCTGTTTGTAATAAAATATGAGGAATTTTATTGTCAGTAGCATTTGAGCAAGCTAAGAGCAAGCGATGAATTAGTGATATTAAAAACCTCAGGGAGCCTTAGCTGTTTTTCTTCCATGCTATAGTTTGGTTGCCTTGTATTTGGTCCCTGGAATTCTGGTTATGACTTATCTGCATACAGTGAACTAAGTTTCCTATTGGCATAATTTGGATTTAGACTTTTTTCTGCCTCTACTTCAATTGTTACTGGTGTTCTGGTGCAGGTTCAAAGATGTTAGAATTGGTGATCCCTCCATGACGGTTGATGGGATCAGTGAAAAAATCAATCCTCATACATGCCGATTGTCAGATATGACGTATGTACTAAATACATTCATACATTTCTATGTTCAACTATTTCATATAGGCATTTTTGGAATAATTGAATTTTTTCCTGGTGTTATAACAACTGAAACTTTAAATGGAATAGTGAGTAGTGCATATTGTTCTCTTTCATCTTGCTAATATGGCGTTAATTTAAGGTATTCTGCACCGATATTGGTCAACATAGAGTACATTCATGGGAGTCATGGGCAGAAAACTAGACTAGAAAAGGTACATCAGATACTTTTTTGATGTGTGTATGATGCAGAAAGATAGGTGCTTTGAATGTAATACAAAATATTCTTCCTTGCAGAATAATCTTGTTATCGGAAGAATGCCCATCATGTTAAGGAGTTGCTGCTGCGTGTTGTATGGAAAAGATGAAGCTGAACTTGCAAGGCTTGGTTTGTGTTCACTAAACTCAAAAATGGTTGTTCCTTTTCTCACTTTCTTATTATATTTTTTGGTTTTCATTGTCTGATATTAGGTGAGTGCCCTCTTGATCCCGGAGGGTATTTTGTCATCAAAGGAACAGAGAAGGTAATTAGACCATCTTTATTGTATACTTATCTGTTTGCTTTGTTCTTCACTTACCTTGCACATGAATACACATTCATTATAACATGGTTTTAGTTTGGTAGTAATTTCCATACACAATATACAATTAATATTCATGATGGGCCAGAAATTTGTAGTGAAGTAGTTGGTGAATCATCATACATAAAATGGATGAAAGTAAACGGAATTAGTATTTTTGTGCTAATTTCTAGTTCCACCTCATTTGATCTAGTATGTTGAATGGACCCATCAGAAAATGGTCTTGATATTTCTCTGGATTGTTGCCTGTTGGATAGGATTTTGGTAGGATGAAGTGATGGTATAAACATAGTTTTTTTTTTGATAAAATAAGGCCTCATTAAAACCCCCCTTCTTATCCTACATGTTACAAACATAACATGAAGGACATTGGAAGGAGGAAAAGAGTGCCTCTAACTTTTATTAATTAGAACAATAATACACCTCCACACCTCAACAACTATCAACTTCTTACAAAACAGAAAACCATAAATCTGAAAACATAACACACCCTAATACTCCCTAAATAAGAACAACCAAGGCATAACACCTTAACCATAACACAAACCTAAAAATCAGCCTATACCAGCTTTAGCTAATTCATCCGCTTCCCAATTTGCTGCTCTCGAGATGAGCCTTGTGATAATACTCTTCCTCTCCACAGTAGAAGCTATATCCCTTACCAAGGATTGAAGCAAAGTAGTACTAAGGTTCGGATTATTAATCCACTTCACAACATTAGAAGAATCCGATTCCAAAATGATCCTCTGATTTGAAAAGAAATCAGCTTCAACTTCCTCAATAAGAATCAACCCTCTATTGATCGCCAAAAGCTCTGCGAGAAAGGGAGGACCTCCCCCTACCTTCTCTGAAAATGACCCAAGCACCAACCCACTGCCATCCCTAATCAAGCCACCTATTCCACCCTTATCCCAACCTTTGACCATTGCACCATCTACATTTACTTTTAAGAACCCTTCCGGAGGACTCCACCCAGAAGAAGGAAGATACCTCTTATTCAGATTGACATGTTGATATGCTAGTTTTAAATCCCCCATCAAGGAATCAAAATGAAAATGAACATCCTTAACTGATGTTTCAAACCAAGAAACAATTCTGAAACGTGAAATGAAGAACAACAACGCTGAATCTACCTTCCCATTATGAAAAATCACCTCATTCCTACATTTCCAAACATACCACAACACTGCTCTTGAAATAAACTTCCATATATGAGATCGCGGCACTAGGTCATCCCAGGCAATTAAGAAATCCATCAACGAACCAGGAACCACAAAGAAAACATTCCATAACTTTAAAAACTTAGCCCACAAAACCCATACCACTTCACAGTGAAGAAACAAATGAGAGACCGACTCATTGTACTTCCTGCACATAGGGCAGACAGAGTCTTCAACCCCAGTAACTCCTCTCTTCAGCAGTTCCTCTTTCACCGCAACTCTATGATGAGCAAGTTGCCAAACAAAAGATTCCACACGTGGTGGAGCTACTCCTTTCCAAACATACCTTTCCCAATTACTTTCTAATTGATCAATACCCTCTCTATCAAAATAAGTTTTCATGCATGATTTTGCTGTAAAACAGCCCTCTCCATTTCCCAACCAAATCCAACAATCTTCCTCTACTAGAATAATACATATCAAATTTTATTTTTTTTACTTTAAGAGTAATTCATATCAAGGCTTTTGAAGTTATAATTGTTTTCTTATTTTCACTTTAAGTACTTGTTTTTCACACCCGCACTTTTTATGTGCTTTATGAGTTCAATTTGTGTGAAATAGACATATTGACTGTCATATTTGTTTTATACATCTTTTCAATCTCTATTCTTAATGGAACTGACTTATATTTTTTGCTTCTCTTGGTAGTCTCTTATTTTTCAAATATTTATTGTTCCATTTCTTGATACATTCTTGTCATTGTAATGTCATGATTCTGCCAATGCCTTTCAGGTGATTTTAATACAGGAACAACTCTCCAAGAATAGGATAATTATTGATGCAGACAAGAAGGGAAAGTGAGTTCTTTCAATTTTTTACACCTAGCTAAGACTCTTCCAGTACCTTATCACATGCTTTATTAGAATTTCCTTGGTTCCATATACAACTCTGCTCATAAAATTTATTGCTTGTTGAAGAAGAATGTAAAGTAGCAGGTCAAAGTTTTGTTGTTAGTCTAGTTGTTCTTGAAGTTATAATATAATTGGTCATATATTGCATTGCTTACTATGATTTTATGAACAATTGGAGACTTTCTTAGCAATTAACTAATTAAATTGGTCCACCTTATGGCCATTTAGCATTTCTTCTTGTTGGAAGTATGTGTTGAAGCTCATGGAAGGATTGAGAAGGAAACAATGACTTCTATTAAGCCATTGTAATTTTAGCATGTTAAACTTTATATTGTTTTACTATTATTATTATTTTTGTGTGTGTGCAGAATGTAAAGTATTTATGCATTCATCTTGAAATATAGGATGAGAAAGTCTTGTATGGACTTATTGTTTCAACTTGGGACTGTGATCCTTTTATTGTCATTTCTACCCGGTTGTTATATTTATCTTCGGCCATATAGTTTAGCCGTCATTTTGTTATTTTCATTCCCACTTCCATCAATTTTCTTAACCTTTTCATTTGTTCTAATTTATATCAGTTCTGCTTGTTCCTTCGAATTTATTTTGACGGAATATCTTTTCTTTTGACTATTTTCTTCTCTGCCCCCAGTATAAATGCATCTGTGACAAGCAGTTCGGAGGCAACAAAAAGTAAAACAATTATTCAGATGGAGAAAGAGAAGATATATTTGTTACTCAACCAATTTGCGAAAAAGGTTTTGTTGCATCTTACTTTCTCTTCTTCTCAGTTAATTTTTTTCTCCATCCCCCACCACCCCCACTCAAAAAAAAAAAAGAGAAAAAAATTGTTATCAATGTTTCATTATTAGACTTCAGTTGTTGCTGAGCATTGTTTTCTCATAGATCCCTATCATGGTGGTCATGAAAGCGATGGGGATGGAGAGTGATCAAGAGGTTGTGCAGATGGTTGGTAGAGATCCTCGTTACAGTGCCCTTCTCTTGCCTTCTATAGAGGTAAGCTAAAGGGTGCAAAACTGTTCATAATTTGTATTATTTAATATGCCTTGTGGATCTATGAATGCATCAATATATGAGCAAATTTCATCAGTGGATTACAGAAATGAAGCTAGAGATGGACATAAAATGACTTGGGTAAGACTCATGAAAGTTGATTTAATTTCTAAACTTCAATGGAGATCTTATGCCAGATCATGGCAGGATTCTGTAACTGTCTCAAGATTTCTCGAGGAAACTGAAAAGTTTCTGATGCTATGTTACTCGGACTAGGGTGTTAGTGTCCTATGTACTTCCCTGGAGAATCATATCCTTATACCCGTGCCTGGATTTGTGTCATACTGGTATTTCAAAAAAAAATAATAAAAAAAAAATGAATAGTCAGAGCAACATAGGTCTCAACTGCATCTTCTACTATAAAAAACTACACTACTTTGTAATTATACTGGTATTAGTGTCGGATAGGGGCATGCATCCAACTTGGGCATATTCATTTTTTTTACGATTTCCATTTATTTGGAGGTTTTTGGAGGATCATATCTCTATACCCATGTCTGAATGTGTGTTAGATGCAGGTATTTCAACAAAAATGAATAGTTGGAGCAGCATAGCTCTCAAGTGCACCCTCTACTATAAGAAATTATACTGAAATTAGATTTTGAAAAGAATTTCAGTTTTCTATCGTATATTGTCTGTTCCATAAATTTTCTTGGTAATATTTTTGCATTCTTATAATCTTCTGGAAGCACATCCGTTCCAAAACCTGCACTTTGTACGTATCTATCCCTTCCTACACAATGTCATTGAATGCCGGGTTGTTCGTCAATTAGATTTGGCTTCCACTAAACCCTTTTCAACTCCTATCTAGATAAGATGTTTCCTAACTTGGTAATGTGTCTATTGCTTTGATGGCTGCAGATTATTGCATGCAAAATCCTCATTAACTAATTTCACAATTTACTTTTTGTGACCCATTTTATGATTTATTCTAAGCATTGGCATTATAAAAATAATCTGCATCTGTTATTTCAGTTTTATAACATGGTGTGACCTTCATGCTTGTTTTAAAAATATTTTTATACAATGTCTTCTCGATTATTCTGGAGTTGTTCTTGTCTTTACATAGTGGTGCTCAAAAATCCATTTATTCTTTTCCAGGAATGTGCAAGTGTGGGCATATATACCCGGGAACAAGCATTGGCGTACCTTGATACGAAGGTTCAATACTCTCGCTTACTTTTGTAATAAAACTTAGGAACCTAGCTTTTTATGTCTAGATTTCAGTGCAGTACATGGAACCTGAAGGTTACTTTGATGTTTATATGTTAATTTTACTTTAATTCAGTCTGCATTTTCTGTTATTTTAATGTAACATTTTAAAGGTAAAAATTCTCTGAAGCCTTGTCAAATTCATAATAGTGTCAGTCTAAAGTATAAACGGAAATGGATTAGAACTTTTGAAGTTTTACTCTTTTGGCCTTCAGTCTTTCATAAAACTCCTTATGTTGTCTGCCGCATGGTAATCTACTTTCAGTGTAAGAATCAACCATGAGCTAGTCATTATGCTTGGTCTATTTGCATTCCTGATTACAGGGAGTTTCTCAACTACATGAAGGCTGCTGTAGTTTTTGAAGACTTTCCAGATTTTTTCTTTTGGGTGTTAATGTTTTACCCTACTTTCTCTGTTTTGGAAATCAACCAGTTTACGAGTTACAGTTAAATCAAACATTTTTAATTGCGTTTGTTCTTTTATCAGCAATAGTTTTGGCTAAACCTACTAGTTTAATAATCTGTTTTGTCATTTTCATATCCTATGAAAGCTTTCTTGTTAAAGTCTTAGCCCATTTAAAGGGTTAATGCATTGTTTAGTTTGCGGGTTTTCCTTTTTGCGATATATTAACTGTTGTATGGATGTATATTATATAAAATTTTGTTCCGATATTTCTGGTTGGCTCAAATTTTCACGCCAATTTCTTCCTTTTGCAGACGACAAAGTCTCTTTATGCTGGTCCCGGATCTAGCGAGGTTTTTCTTCCTTTAGTCTTTCTCTGCATAAATATTCGTGTTTACATTATTGCACATAATGATGTGGTTTAGAGCTTTTCATCAATAAAAATGCAAAAAAACAAAGTTCTATGATGGCCTATTTCATTACTAATTTAAGTTAATGTCTTAATTTTTATTTTGCCCCTTTTCTGGTAGGAAGGGAAAGCTTTTTCTATCCTCCGAGATGTGTTTCTTGCCAATGTTCCAGTATGTTTTGTTTAAGTTTTCAAAAATTTAATGGTGGTATCTTGAAATCAACAATTTTTTTACAATTAATTTCCCCCTTTGTCTAGGTATCTTGCAATAATTTTCGTCCAAAATGTTTGTATGTTGCGGTAATGCTTAGAAGGATGATGGAGGCAATCTTAAACAAGGATGCCATGGATGACAAGGTAGCTATTCATATAACTGAAAATTCTTCTTTTCGGTAAATTGCACAGCACTTAGGTTGAAGATATTATGATATTACCTTCTACCGATAAGAAATTAATTGGGAGATTTACATCTACCGATAAGAAATACCTTCTACATTATGATCCAGTCCAATCACTAAAATTTCATGGGCATCTGTTAGGATTACGACATGGCTTCACATGAGGGCAAATGATGATGAAAATGCCCTTGCTTAATGGTAAAGCATGATGATTAGATTAATCAAGTGATCTGTGTTATGGTTTTTCTTTGTAGCCAATATTATTATTATTTTTGATAGAAATGGGAGACCTCATTAAAATCCCCCTTCATAACCTATGAAATATAACTATTTCACAGGACTTTGGAAGGAGGAAAAGTGTCTCAAAATTGTATTGAATATCAAAACCATATTACATTATAGTTAACATCAATCACCCTACTACTACCACTATCACACCTATTCAAAAAAAACCCCATAACTAACCTCTCTTGCCTACACACAAACCTACTCATCCAATTCCCTCTTTCGCCAGTTTATCAGACTCCCAATTGGACCCTCTGGAAATATGCCTAACAATCACATCTCTATCCCTAATTAACAATACAATCTCCTTCAACATAAGACTCAATGAATTAGGACAACCACCCTGGTTTTTGATCCAATTTACCACAGAATGGAAATCGCATTCTAAAATTAGTCTCCCTATATTACACCATATAGATTCTATAAAAAGCAACAAACCCCTTTTAATTGCCAACAGTTCAGCTACTGCAGGAGGACCCTGCCCAACAGCCTCGGAGGACTCCAACAGCAACCCCCCCGAGTCTTTGAGAATCCCTCTAATGCCCCCTTTTAACCAATCACCACTGACAGCACCATCCACGTTCAATTTGAAGAAACCCACAGGAGGCGGAACCCATATGGATCGAGAAGGACTCCAACAGCAAACCCCCTGAGTCTTTGAGAATCCCGCCAATGCCCCCTTTTAACCAATCACCACTATCCACCTTCAATTTGTAGCCAATATTATTATTTTCTTAGTTTATCAATTTATTAATATTTTGTTAGAAGTATTAGGATATCTTATTTATGAGTATCTTATACTATTAAAGGTCTTTCCTCAATTGGAGTATTTGTTTTTAGTTACTTGCTTACTAAGTCTTCAGTTGAACTATGTAATCCCTTTGTATACGAGTCGAATTGAGAATTGAATAAAACAAATCATAGTTTTATCAAAAAGGAGCTAAAGGCCACTTCAATTTAAAGGCCTTAAGCCTTTTGTGGAGAGAAAGGCCAAGCTAAAGAGAAGAGAAGATTTGGTCTTTGCAGCACTGAAATGAACGATTATTGATTACCAGGAGACATAAATGACAATACCCACTAGTACAGAAAAATCAAAATCCTCTATTTGTATAGCTACTTAGTGAGAGAAGCTCCACCTTCTCTCTAAAAATTTAGGCGTTTTTCAAAAATTTCTTTCTCTATCCCCTTCAAATCCTTTAGATGGCGAGTCAGATGAGAAGATCTGTTGGGAAAAATTGCTTTACAGTTATTATTTTCAATATTCCAGAGTGTCTTCATCATCAAGGTCTTAGGTTATTGTTCGATAATTATGGCGAGGTGGTCGATTCTTTCATCCCTTTCAAAAGAAGCAAGGGAGGAAGCAGGTTCGGTTTTGTCCGCTTTTCTAGATTGGAGGACGCGAGGAGGGAGAAGCTCCACCTTCTCTCTAAAAATTTAGGCGTTTTTCAAAAATTTCTCTCTATCCCCTTCAAATCCTTTAGATGGCGAGTCAGATGAGAAGATCTGTTGGGAAAAATTGCTTTACAGTTATTATTTTCAATATTCCAGAGTGTCTTCATCATCAAGGTCTTAGGTTATTGTTCGATAATTATGGCGAGGTGGTCGATTCTTTCATCCCTTTCAAAAGAAGCAAGGGAGGAAGCAGGTTCGGTTTTGTCCGCTTTTCTAGATTGGAGGACGCGATGAGGGCTATCATCCGTGCTGATAGATCTTGGATTCAAGGGAATAAGGTTAGAGTTTTCTTGGCGAGATTTCAACCTCGTGATGTTTTCTGGAGAATAAAGTTTTCTGGTTCATATTCAGCTGTGGTCAAGAGTAGAGAGGAGGATGTCAAAGAGGTGCCCATTATTGGTGTAGTTGACGAAGATAAGTTGTTTACTCTTAGAGATAGTTTGGTTGGTTGGTGCAGAAAATTTATAAAAATGAAAGAGTTAGCTGCTATTATGCACAAGGAAGGCATTTTAGGCCCGAAAATTATGAGGTTGAGTGGTTTAGCAATTTTGATCATATTTGAAGATGAAGAGAGTAGGGACTATACTCTAAAAAATCAGATTGGAGTGTTGAATAAATGCTTCGACAAAGTGGATTTGTGGTCGGAAAACTTTCAGTGTAGCAACCGACGGGCATGGTTATCATGCAGAGGGATCTCACCGTTTGTGTGGAGCCATTCAACTTTCAGTAACATTGCAGAGAAATGGGGAGCTCTTATCTCCATTGATGTAGGGACCTTAAATACTGGCTCGTTTGATAGGGCCTTGTTTCAGATCATTACGAACTGCAAAGACCGAGTAGAAGAATCCTTTGTTTTGAAAGTCGGGGAACAGTCTTTTACAGTATTTGTTTCTGAGTTTGAACCTTGCTTTAGCCCAGATTCCGTGTGGGAAGATTCGTCTATGTTGGATACGTCAGTTGCCACCCCGTTGCCCACGGAGGGGGAGCTTGCTGCTGTCTCGTCAGTTAAGTCTTCCGAGTTGGTGGTAGATGCTGGTGCCGAGAAAGTAGGAGATGGTCCTTGTTCCGAAGAGGCACGGGCTGCTGAAATTGTGTCCCTGACAGTCCCGATAGCTGTGCATGGGTCTGATTGCAAGAAGAGAGGCTCTTTTAATTCCTTGGAGGTTGTTAGGGGGGCGCAAGTGGGGTCTGAGTCAGATTTGTGTGATGCTATCGATGACAATGTGCATGGGCATAAGCTGCTGATTTGTGCTAACCCGACAATTCGTAATGGGGCTGTTATGCTCGGTTCAGTTGGTCAGAGGATGTGTTTGGTGGCACTTTTCATGCCTTGGAGAGTGTTAGTAGGGCGCACATTGGGTCTAAGGATGCAATCAAAGGTAACGTGAAATTGCCAGATGTGTCGTCCACACCTACAGATGGATTTAAGGTAATGGTGGTACACGAGGAAGTGCTTGCTGGTCAGGGGATGGAACTATTGAAATCCGAGATAGTGGATGGGCGTAAGAAACTAAGAGCTTTGGAGGAGAGGAATGCTATTTTTAGTTCTCTCTGAAATTTTCAAGAAAAATTTTCGGCCCACCAAAGGAAGTCTCGTTAGAGTCGAAGCAAGAGTTCTCAGAGAAAGGTGCATAGAGAGGAAGTTTTTTCTGATCTTGAAGGCTCTATAGTGGTTTCGATATCAGAAGATTCTGGCAGTGGGAGTTTTGGTATTTTCAGGCGATTCCTTACTTTTTATTTATATGGAGTTGGAGGTTCGGATAGTCTCTGTCGACAAGTCGAGCAAGAAGAGGCTGTAAGGCGGAAGAAGATCTTGTACTCTTATCGTGTGGAAGTTCAGGGCTTTTGTTTTTGATTCTGGCTTTTTTGGATTGAGTCAGCTGTGGTATTCGGCTTCTGTTTCAGTTGTATTGTTTTTGTGTTGGTTTTCGGGCTTAGTTCAGGTGTTAAGTCTGCCCAGTCAGTTTTGTGAATGTTGTTGTAGCTTAGATGGTTTTCGTTGTGTTAGGGTTGTTGTATAGGGTTTTTTCTGGTTGTTTTTGGTTGCTTGTTTATGTTGGGGGTGGCGATCTGGTTGTATCTTAAGTTTCTTATGGTTAATGAAATCTTAAGGCACTCTTTTCCTCCTTCCGCTGATCAAGGAGCTTTTCTACAAGCTCCTTTAATCAAGAAGGAGGTTTTTAATGAGGCCTTCAATTCCTATCAAAAAAAAAATCCTCCGTTTGCAATGGACATTGATGGGAATTCTTTCAAAACTGTCTTCCTTTTGGTACTATTCACTTGTCAGTCATTCAATCTCTAACTTAATTTCTATTTCTCCCTGTTGATTTTAATTAAAGTTGTTCAACCTTTTTCATATTTGTATTGTTTGAGGCCAAATTCTGGAAATATTTGGCTAAGTGGTGAAATTGCCACTTCAAATAAATTGCAAAAGAATCAATTTTTATTCCTGTGTTGGGCATTTTTAGTAATTTCAAAGTCTGTTTGTACCATTCTTCATAATTTCCTTGGGTTGTGATTATGGTCACTCAAGGATATCTATGAAATTACCCGATATTTTTTAGCTTTTGGTAAATTTGAAACCACTACAAGTGTGGACTGATAGTTAGCTCTATTATGTCGCTGTATACTAAGAAACTGCTTGCGAGCAAACAGAAGAAACTCCATTGATTGCCAGTTCATCTAGAAAAGCAGTACAAGAAGGGCTACGCTGTTAAAATCGTATGCCTATTCACTCATTTAGAGCTCCAAAAAATACTTTCTAAATGTACTGCAACTACTTGTGGAAGTTTTTGCTGTGTTATTCTTATCCCACCCGATCAAAATGGTTCATGTCATTTTTCTATTCTAACCTAGGTCACCCCCAAGCAAAGAGAAAGTCATACCCTTAAAGCATTTTGTATGAGGGGTGGCATTGCATTTTTATTTATGATTTTTATGCCAGGAAATTGGCTCATCCTTCTGATGAGTTTGCTGCTAATATTGTTATATTCCTTTTTCAATGTTCATCTTTCCAAATCAAATCAGGTGTTGTGGTGTGTCATAGATACTGGCCATTCATGAATTCAAAGAGCTTGTGGATACATGAAAATTGATGAACTTTTACACTCCGTGATATATTTAAGCTTAGTTGTGCCAGGTATGTTAACAGATTTCCTTTGTTTTGTAGGATTATGTGGGGAACAAGCGTCTCGAGTTATCAGGACAATTAATCTCTCTTCTCTTTGAGGTATTATTCATAATTATGCTTATTTCTTGAAACCTTATTTATTTTGTTGTGTGTTCCTAATGTTTTCCATTGTCCTTGTTGACTTGTTAATGTAATAGGATTTGTTCAAGACCACGATTGCTGAGGTTAAGAAGAATATTAATCTTATCCTGTCAAAGGCCAGCAGATCTAGTGTTTTAGATCCCTCTAGTGTAAGTGTCAGAAATCAGTATTTTCAAGCCAAGTTCTTTTGCATATACTAATGAGATTTTGATGTTTTGTGAATTACTCGGCTTTAAATCCTGTTAATTTTTTGGGGATTTGGAAAAGTTGATCTGTCATGAAGTGATGGTAGGTGGTTGTGGAGTTAAGTATGCGGGGAGGTTGTGAACAAGGAGAGTTGGGGGTCATGGAGGAAGATTTTTATAGGAAAATATCTCCATTGAGTCACATAATTCGTTTCTACTTGGGCTTCTGCAGAATTTTTTTAAGAACATGAACAGTATAAAGCATTTAACAATGAGTATTGGTCCCAGTGCTAACAAAGTAACACTGGTCTGACCTGAGTCGAGAGTCAACTGGTTGAAAGTCCAACTAGTCTTACTGTATAGTCAAGTTTGACTTTTAACTGGTTTTGAATCTACAAAATAGTGATTAACGAACTTGAGTCAATTCAAGTACCAATAGTCTTACTGTGTAGTCAGTCCGAAAGTTTTTTTGGTGTTTCACATTAACACAATCATGAACTGGAATCTCGCCCATGCAAATTGCCCCTCATAGTTATCCTTTATTCACTATTATGAGAGAAACATACTGATTTGTTCTTCTACAAAGAATGTTGTATTTTGGAACTGCCTAGTTTCAGTAAATGACAGTTCTTATTTGATTTAAAGCTTGAACACAAAAACAGAAAAAAACAGTAAAAGCTAGTTCTACATATAAATAAATGTATTATATCTCGTTGTCATTTTGTATTGCATTGATTTGTTCGTTTTTGTTTTGAATCTGTTTTCCATTTCTACATTTCATAGAAAAATTCTCAATCCATTGTAACCTGTTTTTTCCCCTTTGAATTGTAGATTTTGCTTGGTAAAGACATCATTTCGATGGGGCTTGAAAGGACCCTTTCAACTGGGAACTTTGATATCAAGCGGTTCAGAATGCACAGAAAAGGCATGACACAGGTATTTTGCATCCTTGGTTTTGTTTATCCATTCATATTTTCTTAGTACACCGTAGACTGATGGATAAATCTTTCACTGATAGATCCTGGCAAGGTTATCCTTTATTGGGACTTTGGGCTTCATGACAAAAGTCTCCCCACAATTTGAGAAGTCTCGGAAAGTAAGTGGACCAAGGGCCTTGCAACCTAGTCAGGTGAGTGTTATGTCTCCTGTTGCATTTGAGATATACTTAAAAATGGGATATTCAGTGATGGTTACTTTTTTTTTTTTTTGCAGTCTGTTACTGTTTTTTTATTATTAATTTTTCTTTTAATTCTTTCCTGTTCCTTTAATTTACTACAGTGGGGTATGCTTTGCCCTTGTGATACTCCTGAAGGTGAAGCCTGTGGACTGGTTAAAAACTTAGCCTTAATGACTCATGTTACAACCGATGAGGATGAGGGCCCTTTGATTTCTTTGGTATGTACTTATTCATTTTGAATTTCTTTTTTCTGTGAAGTCAATGCCATACTAGTAGCATCATTCTAGAGTTAATACCGAGGAGATACTCTAATCACATCGAGGTTCTATGTTTCTCAATGTGAACCCTCTGTTTTAAGGGTGGTTACATGGTTTGTAGTGTCATCACATTAAGGAATTTAAAATCAAAATAGAGAACATCTGTATAGCTTAAAGCAATTTGATGTAAAGAAAAAAAACTTCTTTCTGAGGATTAATATATATTTGAAATGCTATGAGTAGAGAAAAATTAATCTGAGATCGAACACTTGCTTTACAATGAGAAAAGAACCAAAACAATATGAGGTATATTTTTGACTTTTTTTAACCCTGCTTAGGGAGATAAAATACTCCCATGTACATAAGGAGGGATTTGACCAGAAAAGAATTAGAATGGTTCAGGAAGAAAGCAAATAGAGGAAAGAAATTCTAGCCATGCATGGAATTTTTTTTTTGGGCACAAAGAAGATTGTATGAGCTTCATGTTCAGTAGACCTGGAATTTCATATCAAAGTGAAAGTTGAAACGAAAGAAAAGCCTAGATAATTATTTGATTGCTGATGGTGTCTGGAGACTGACGAGTTCTGTAGATGGCCAATTGAAATAAATATTAAGAAAAACGAAAAAGCTATTTTTTTCTATGATTATAATAAGCCGTTTCACCTGTTTGTTTTATTATTATAATATTCTGTCAATAGCATCAATCTCTTCATACAAAGTTTTTATTTTTCTATCATATTGTTATTAAATCTGTGTCATCTCTTGTGTATGATCAGAAAATTGTAAGTATTTTGTTGACATTTTGTTTTATAACCTGCAAATTAGTTATTAATTTGATTTTATTGTATGATTATAATCTGTAAAGATTAAAATGTAATCACTTATTTCAATAACATAAAGCATTATACTTGGTTATATATTTCAGCTATTACTACATCTTATTTACTATTGAAATCTAGAAACAAGACATGAAGAAGATAGTTATTTTGCATCTCAAACTGAAAGGATTAATCCAGTAGCTTGCTCCTTATCTATATGCCTATGGATATCATGATTTTTCCTACTTTTAATTTCAAATTCATTGTTTTGTACAACAGTGTTATTGCTTGGGCGTTGAAGACTTGGAGCTACTATCTGGTGAAGAGCTTCATACACCAAATTCATTCCTGGTTATGTTAAATGGGCTCATTCTGGGAAAACATAGAAGGCCACAGGTGCTTCTGGTGTTCCTTTGAGGCCTAAACAATAGATTTCCATATATAAAAGTCACTCAATTCAACTGCAATAATGCAAAACTGGTTTAGAGTTGGACAAATAGTTTAGCCTCTTTAATGCTTGGTTTAAGGCCATAGTCTCTGTAAGGAGAGAGAAAAAAATAGTAATAAGAAGTTTTCATTATATATTAATATGCAAAGTCAGCTCTGTCAGCTTTAATCTCAATTTAATCACTGTTATACACTAATACATGTATGCAATTATATGTTCTTACTATTTTCTCCAAGTAGTACCTTTGTAAGTGAATAAGGGTAAATTTAATTTGTTAGCACCTTTTAGATTGAAATTCTTGGGCATTCCTCTGCTTTAGAGATCTGTCAACCAGCCTTTAGCTTTTGTAAAAGCTGTTGTTAAGCTTTAAACCCCAAGAGCTTAAGCTTCTGACAAGACGTAAGTGCAAAAAAAGCTGTTATGAATTTATAATAAGAAATTTTGAACGACAAGAAAGTACTTGTATTAGACACCCATGTCCAATGCATTTTCATAGATGCGTATCTGAATACTAACATCCAAGAGTCCTCCAAATAAATGGGAGAACTTATAAAAAATCTGAATATACTGGTGTTGGACATATACTCGAATCCGACACATCCGAGTCTAAGCAACATAAGCTGGACCAAAGCAACATTTTTTCTATTCTTTATTGTTTTGTCATGTTCATTGATGTGATTGATTATCACCAAAGATTTGGTCTTATCGTCATTATATGACATCTCTTTTTCTGGTTGGAATGCATCCTTTGATTATATAGGTATAGCATTCTAAAAACTTCACTATTTCATTTAACCTGCTTCTTGATAAAAATGAAAAATCATTTAGTGTTTGAACAATTATTTTTATATTCAGATAATAGAAGAACTAGAAACTTCTGTCGCTTACAATTCCTAGGCATGCATACTTGCATTGTAAAAATTTATGTATATGTTGAAAAACTTTGTTCCTCTAGTTCTATAATATTCTCTCCTTGTTTTGTAAAAATTTATGTGTACGTTGAAAAACTTTGTTCCTCTAGTTCAATAATATTCTCTCCCCTTTATGTAGCATTTTGCTATTGCTATGAGAAAGTTGCGAAGAGCTGGCAAAGTTGGAGAGTTTGTGAGTGTCTTTGTAAATGAGAAGCAGGTAAAATCTTCCTTCACTTAAAATCTATGTAACAATCTTGCGTGTCATTTTATCATTTTTCATTTAATTTCTATAACTATGCTGTCTTTTATCTTAAACACCTTATCTGCTTGCTAAGATCAACTCTCAAATGCATCTCTGCTTTCTTTATTCTTAAAACACTAGAGTTATTATTATAGCTCATGTTTGGAATAAGAACCGTTATGTTAGCTAGTATATAGATATAGGTTATTTCCATTACAATACTCTCAATTCCTTTGGATCTTACGATAATCAATGCACCTATCCATTGTTGTGGGCTGTACTCATATATTGTGCATTTTGCAAGTACGAATGATAATGGTAAGTGTAATTTGTTGCTGACCCTAAAACATTCACATCCAACGATGACCTTTCGGTTAGCTCTTTTTTCAATTAAATTGAGAACAGTGTGAACATTTAAATGGTTTGACAATTTATTTATCATGTAGTTGGAAGATCTCGTATGAGTATGTTTGTGGGATATAGTTCTGTATCTGTAACTCCCTTATCAATGCAAAATCTGATTTAAAGGTGGGTTCAAGACAATCTTTTGAGTCACTGGTAATATTGTGAAACTTCAGTGTAACAAGTCTGGTTTGACAATCTTTTATAAATTGTGGATTGCCTTATCATTTATATTGCAGATGTACAGCACAAGATAATTATTTGATGAGATTCTAATGAAGGGATCTGTGGGGTATACAGTTAATTATAAATGATGACAGATTGCTCAAAAATACTCTAAAATGGAGAAGATAAGAAGGAAAATACAATGATAGGAACCAACTTTGAGGTACTCTTTTCCTCCTTCCGCTAGTCGGTTCTTGCCTTATGGTAAAGGACTACTAAGAAGGAGGTTTTTAATGAGACCTACTTTTCCTATAAAAAAAAAATGATAGGAACCAACTTGGGTGCATGTTCTAATTCTGAATCCCATTGTGTGCATGTTATAATCTAATCCCATTCAATCTGTCATGTTGCCATCTCTGTATATGGTTGTATTTGTTTTCTATGATTATATTGAAATTAGACTAGAGTGTAGATGTGACTAGTGGTTTTCATCTTTCCTGTATGCTGTAATTTTTTCCCTTCCATTTTAAATATTTACTGATATTTGAGATTCAAAAATGTTGATCAGCGGTGTGTTTACATTGCTTCTGATGGAGGTCGAGTTTGTAGACCCTTGGTAATAGCTGACAAGGGAATATCAAGGATCAAAGAACACCATATGAAGCAGTTGTTGGTAAGAGTTATGTTCATGATTTTATCCAAAGAAAATAGTCTTGTTTGAAAGCTAATTCTATTTTGTGCTTGTTAAGGATGGAGTTCGAACTTTTAATGACTTTTTAAGTGATGGTTTGGTGGAGTATCTTGATGTCAACGAGGAAAACAATGCTCTGGTTTGTTTCCCCAAATGATTTAAAGGTTTTAAATTCAATTGTTACATTTTATGGATAATTGACTTCTAAAAACATGATTATCTTCTTAGATTGCTTTGTATGAAGGAGAGGCGACACCTGAAACAACCCATATTGAGATAGAGCCTTTCACGATCTTAGGTATTATTGCCGGGTTGATTCCATATCCTCATCATAATCAGTCACCAAGAAATACGTATCAGGTTTTTTTTTCATCACTTTTGATATCTTAAACTTGGCAAGGTTGTGAACTGTAAATTTTTTCTCTTATCATCTCTAAATGTTTCTGTATTTGTAGTGTGCAATGGGGAAGCAAGCAATGGGAAATATTGCATATAATCAGGCAAGCAGTGTTATTAGTATTGTGTTCATCCCTTTTTTTCTTTTTCTTTTTTCTAACTTTGAGCAAAGAGTCCTTGTATTTCACTAAATACATAATACAGCTTCTTGATTTCAGGAAGAAATTTATGAAGGTTTCATTAGTTGAAAACAAGCATTCTCTGTTTTTTTATAAATTATGCTCAATTTAAATGATCAAATAATTTTGATATCACAGTGTGCAAGTCACATGCTTTTGTAAATGCACACATATAAACTCAAACATGACTTGTTTTCTGATATTTCTGTCTTAAACTTGAGATGGGCCGTGGCCTTAATAATTTGAGGCACAGAGTTGTTCAAAATAATGGTTACTTTCCAAATGCTGCAGATGGTGTAAATTTTCCTTATATATTTTAATTTTATTTGTTGATAACTATCTCTTTAAATTTCATCAAGAATTTTTTTTGATAGGAATAGGAGACCTCATTAAAAACCTCCCTCATAGTTGCCTCTTGTAAAGAGGCAACTATCAAACGAGGAAAAGAGTACCCCATTTTATGAATAACCCAAACTTACATAAGATTACAGATTATAAAACACCACCAGAATAAACATAACAAACCCAATATACTACAAAAAACAATAAACCAATCCCCTCCTTGGCTAACTTGTCAGCCTCCCAATTACAAGGCCTAGGAATCTGCCTAACCAAAATATCTCTAGCAGAAACTAAAGCCCCAATCTCCCCAACCAAAGAACTAAAAAACGACGGGGCAACAACAGTCTTCGAAATCCAATCCACTGCTTTTTTGCAATCAATCTCTAAAATTATTCTGCCCTTCAACACCCATTCAGAAGAAACAAATAAATCAATGCCTTGTTTGATAGCTTTCAATTTAGCAAACACAGGAGGGCCTGGTCCCGTAGCATTAGAAAAGGAAATTAAAGTAGAGCCATTCGAATCTTTCAACAATCCACCAATTCCACCCTGCAAACCATCGCCTCTAACCGCCCCATCCACATTGAATTTATAAAAGTCTGGTGGAGGTGGAAGCCAGCGCTGATCCTTCTTATATAAAGGCTTAACTGAGATCCTGTCTGCCAACAAAGGATCCCCTATTAAAAGATCAGCCTGAATATTTGCTTAGGAAATTTAGCTAAAAACCATTTGGCCAGCCTGAACCTGCAAATGAAGAACAATATAGAACTGTCAAAAATCCAGTTTTCAAACACCACTGAGTTCCTCGCCTTCCATAACGACCACAACATCACTCCCGGGATAAAATTCCATATAGTAGATGACGGCCTTAGAAAAAACCAAGAGGCTAGTAAAGATCGGGGATCATTGGGCAAAACTATAGAAAGCTCCCATAACCTAACGAACCTATTCCACAAATCCCAAGCAACATGACATAGTAAAAAGAGATGTTGAATTGTTTCATCCTCTTTATGACAAAGAGGGCATAGTAGTACATCCAAGGGAATGCCTCTTTTCTTCAAATCCACTCTAACAACTAATTTTAGGTGAGATAACTGCCATAGGAATGTTTCGACTTTTGGAGGTGCCAATCCAGAACAAACCCACTTGTTCCACTGAAAAGTCCCCCTGAACTACACGAGAGAGTTGCTCTACATGACTTAACCGAGAAAATGCCATCACCCTTCCCTGACCAAGACAGAAAATCATCAACAGAATCCTTCAAATCAATATTAATAATCAGCGACATTAAGGAAATCCATTGATCCAATTCCTAGTCGCACAAATTCCTCCTAAGTTGAATATTCCAAACCCAACGGCCATTTACATAACAACCAAACTCCGCAGCTCTGCCCCATTTATTGGTCGATAAGGCAAAGATCCTAGGGAATTGTTCTTTTAAGGTAGAATTATTAACCCATACATCATTCCAGAAATCAATTAATCTTCCATTCCCCACTTGAATCTTCGAATTAGACCTCAAACAAACCCCTATATCATCATTTTTCTCGCAATTGTTCACAATTCCTCTCCAAATCCAAGAATCTTGCGAATTAACAGCCTTATTAATCGATAAAGATAAGTTAGAGGTATTGTGTTTACAGCAAATCATCTTCTTCCACTGTTGAGTCTTTTTCATTTGTAAACTTCCAAACCCACTTCCCAAGTAACACTCTATTCACCATAGTCAAATCCAAGACTCCCAATCCGCCCTTCTCATAAGGTTGACACACCGTTTTACAATTAACCCAATGAATCCGTCTCTTGTTGAAACTATCTCCCTAAAGGAATTTAGCCATCAAAGAATTCAGCTTGTTACTTATCTTAAGCGGAATTTTGAACATAGAGGTAAAAAAAAAAATCGGCAATGATGACAGAACTGCCTTCACTAACACCAACCTCCCTGCCATCGATAAAGTAGAAGCTTTCCAGCCAGCTAGTTTGGTGTTAAATTTCTGGATTACTGGTTCCCACATCAGCTCTGAATTTTTGTTAGTACCTATCGGTAAACCAAGGTATTTCATAGGGAAAACCCCCACCCCACAGCCTGCAGCATAGGCCCAATCCTTAAGAATATCCTCATCCAAATTGACACCAAACATTTTGCTCTTGGATAAATTAAGATGCAACCCTGACATTAAACTGAAAATCCTCAAAACTCTCCTAATATTAAGGATCTGAGTAGGAGAATCTCTGCAGAATAAAATTAAATCATCTGCAAACTGCAAATGAGTCAAACGGAAAGGATTGTCCTCCCTACCGACACTGAACCCTTCAAACATACCACATTCCACAGCCTTAATAAGCATTAAATTCAATAATTCCCCTACCAAATTAAACAACAGAGGAGACAAACTGCATCCTTGTCTCAGCCCTTTGTCCATCTTAAATTCTGCTGTAGGAGAACCATTCACAAGAATCGAGATAGAGGCAGAAGAGATACACAAATTAATCCATGAAATCCACCTATCTCCAAAACCCATCATTTTCAATAATCTTAATAGAATCGGCCATTCCACCGAGTCATATGCTCTCCGAAAGTCAACCTTGAAAACAACACCTTTCCTCTTATTTTTCTCCAAAAATCAATGGCCTCGTTAGCTATAAAAGCACAGTCAATTAACTGCCTTCCAGGAACAAAGGCAAACTGTGAAGGACTCACAATATCTTTTATTATTGAGACATGTCTCTCTTCTAGATATTCTGATGTTTCTGTTTTGGTTGAAACTCTGTCCATATACTTTTATTAAAATGGCCTTTTTTCCTTGCTGAGGTTGTATATTTTGGGCTGTAGTTGTGCCGGATGGACTCATTACTTTATCTATTGGTGTATCCACAGAGGCCTTTATTGACAACAAGGACAATTGAATTGGTTAGTAGTCCGTATATTGTTGAGTATGAGCAAACCATTTTGTGCTGTAAATTAACTGCCTTTACTTTCAGGTTGGATATGATAAACTTGGAGCTGGTCAGAATGCAACTGTTGCAGTCATGAGTTATAGTGGTTATGACATAGAGGATGCTATTGTCATGAACAAGTCTTCTCTAGACCGGGGTTTTGGTCGTTGTATTGTGATGAAAAAGTATGCAACTTTTTCATCCTAATGGTGGCATTTGTTATGATTCTGATTATACCTTCTAATCCTGCATGGCTTGACAACTATCAATCGCATATTATATTGTTCATTCTTTTTGTAACAGGTATGCTCACGTTATTGAAAAATATCGAGGTGCATCCGATAGACTTCTTACGCCACTGAGAACCGGATCTGGTTCAGAGAGGATGCAGGTAATGTATTTACTTGCATTTCCCGACTGCACAAATGAATTGCTGCATTGTCAAATTACTGATTTTTAAGCATTTTTTAACCTGTTCTTATTTTTTTATATCATGAAATTAAATCCTTTGCTTTTTTTTTTTTTAATTTCTAACTGACCATTGTTATTATACGAGTACTTTTTCTGTAACTTGTGACCCCTTCCAATGTCTAACCCTAGCAGTCTAGGGTCTATTTGTGGTGAAATTTCTCCAACATATTGGATAAGTTGAGAATTAATTTTTGATGGCAACTTTAACCATTTATTTTCGAAATTTACCTTTAAAAGATGGCATTTTAAAATATACACTTTCCCGTCTTATCATAAGAGGGGATAGCTTTGGTAACAGAATCCTCTCAAGATTTTATATTCATACTGATGGGTTCTATTAATAGTTGACACTGGAAGTTACATATTTTCTCTAGTTGTACAAACTTAGCTACGAGCCTAGGACTGTATCACATCATGACTAACAGAACTGCTAGAAGTGCGAGTGATCTGGTTTACTATAACATACTATATAGCTAAGTTACTTCGACTTGGGTGTAAGTGTTGGATATGGATGTGTTCAATACCGATATGTTCAGTTTTTTCCTTAATTTTCCATGTAAATGGAGGATCCTTAACTAGCTCAATAATATCTAAATGAAAATGCCCTGGGAAGGAAAGTTTTTATTTCTCCGTTTGCACTCAGCAACTAGTAATAGTAAATAGTAGACACTTTGTATATCTTAAGAGAGCTAAGGCAATACTAATGGCTCAATCGGTTTTAGTCTCTAATGATGAAAATGAATTAGCTGCCTTGTAATATCCTCCTAAAGCCCCTTCTTTCTGACTCCAGCGAACCCCTTTACATACCAAAAAAACAAAAAAATTGATTTTATGCATCTCAGTTCTCAAAGTAATGAATAATCTGGAAAAATAGCTCACTCGTTATTTGTAATTTTTGAAAAGTTACACATGGGTAACTTTCTTTGCACAAGCACTGGTTCTATGTTTTAAAATTATTTCCATCAAGTTTCAATTGTTAAGTTCTTTATGTAGAAATTAGATAATGATGGAATTGCCACTCCTGGGGAGATTATTAGACCAAAAGATGTCCTCCTTAATAAGGAGGTCCCTATTTATAAAAGTGGGAGTTCTGTATCTTCAGAATCTCTACGGGATAGGTAAGTTATTCATTTTAATTTCTGTTTGATAGTTTTGCTGGTCTTATATTGCTTTGAAAAGCTTTTTACCAATTTCCAACTTGCAGTGCTTATAGACCTGCAAAGGAATATTATAAAGGTCCTGAAGGAGAGACATGTGTGCTAGATAGAGTTTCTCTGAGCAATGATAGGAACGGAAATCCATCGATAAAATTTTTAATACGCCACACGCGTAGACCTGAGGTAGGCAATAATGAATTGGCCTCATTAATTTATTTTTTCCTCAGAAACACAGGGTTGACCCCTTTTTTTCCGTTTTGTTGCTCTTTTAATATGCATTCACTCAGCTTGGTGACAAATTTAGTAGCAGACATGGCCAAAAAGGTGTTTGTGGCATTATCATTCAACAGGAGGATTTCCCCTTTTCAGAGCGTGGAATTTGCCCTGATCTAATTATGAATCCTCATGGTTTTCCAAGGTTGTATCTTTTTATTTTAGTTGAATAATTTAATGATTTGAATGAATAGTCTAAGGCATTCACCCCTACAACCTTTATCTAGCTCCTATTGGCTATAATAAAGGACTTCATAGACTTATAAACACCTGAGGAGGGTTTTCTAATTACCATTTCTATCCCTTTCTTTTCTCATTTAGACATGTTTAATGCATGAACAATTAACACCATGGATCAGTTTTAGCATGATTTGCCCACCCCACCCCGCTCAAAAGGAAAATAAAAGATGGTCACCTCCATAAATCACTTGTTATTTGATATACTTGTGGTTACACTTGTAACATATAGCATCAATCTACATGCCCATTTAAGATACATAAACGACCAAAATTAACGAAACCTTTTTTGCTTCTTGGGTCTAAGAAGAGTCTGTTTTGGGTCTAGCACAATGAGACTACAGTGATTGCTTACAAACAGGAAAGGAGATGGTCCTAACAAGGGAGCTGTTTTGGGGTGGAATATGGAGAAATGAAGTTTTTGACTTTGTTGCGGCATCAAAGAAGCATTATTGGATTATGATTTACATGAAATGTTTGTTGGCTGATTTTATGAATCTAGGCAACTTTAATTTTTTTTGTGATGCAAGTTTCACTGCTGGTTTTCGTTCTTCGACTCTTGTCCTGGACATTTATGCATAACTACAATGAAAGAAGGTATATGTTTAAACATGATATTTTATGCCTTCTCCACATCCATGTGTTTCTCTAAACCTGTGCATGTGGTGTTCCATCAGAAATAAATACGCAGCCAACACATCATAAGCTTCTTGGTTAGAATTTTAGGGAATATATTTTTATTTATGGTATGAAGTTAAATTCTTTAATGGCCAGATTTTTATGGGGGGTAATGAGGAAAAGAGGAGGATACACTGGGTGAATTGGAATACAGTTTGCAAGCCTTTGAACTCTGGTGGTCTTGGTGTTCTTGACTTGAATATTTCTAATTGGGCTTTATTGGGAAAATGGGTGTGGAAGTTTGCCAATGAAAAGAATTCTCTGTGGAAAAGTGTGTTATGTAGCAAGCACAAGGTCAGTTGCAATACTATGTCTATTAGGAAGGCTTTTTCTCCCAAGTCTTCTTGGATTTTGAGAGGAATTGCTAATAATTTCTTGAAGAATGATTCGGAGGGTGATTGCTTAAGATCTTATTCAAAGTTGAAAGTGGGTAATGGAAAGTCTTTCATTTTGGACAGGTGCATGGGTAGATGAGCTTCCCTTAAAATATCTTTTTCCTAGAATATACGTGCTATCATCAAACAAATGGGCAAGGTTGCTGAATTTGGCAGCTTTGAATTGAACGGTTGGGTGTGGAATATTCAAACCAGAAGGAATTTGTGTAATTGGGAATTGGATCAGTGGTTGGATTTGATGACAAAACTGAAGGATCTTAAACTGTCAGATTCAGTAGAAGACTTTCTATCTTGGTCTGCAAGTGGTGATGGACTGTTTTCGGTAAAATCTTGCAGAAATGCATTCGGGAGGGAGTTTGGGGGATATGATTTGTGGTTAAAAGGGGTGTGGTTGGGATTGTCACCACCTCGTGTCGAAGCTTTCCTATAGCAGTTAGCTCATCAGAAAGTGGCAGTAAGAGCAAAATTGGTGAACAGAGGAATGCAGCTAGGTGATGATATCCTTTGTCCTTTTTGTAAGAAACACGAGGAATCAGTACAACACTTATTCATTTCGTGTTATGTAGTATGGGAATTGTGGAACAAAATAGCAAGCTTTTGGGATCTAGCCCTAGTCTTTCCAAAGGACCCTCATTTGCTTAGTTGTTGGGGTGAGTTGAGGGTGAAATCGTTGATTTGGAAGTTCATTCCGGGAGTTGTATTTTGGTCTATTTGGAAAGCTAGGAATGCAATGGTGTTCGAAGGATCTACTATTGACAGGCAGTCTCTGTTTTTCTTTATTAGATTCAGGTTATCTAAATGGTTTTTAGCCAAGTACCCTAAGTTTCCAATTCAAGAGGATGTGCTGATAGGTGACCCATCTCTTGCAGACGGTATTCAAGTTCATAAATTAAAGGATTGTAAGGTGAATCGTTGGATCCCACCCCCTGTAGACTATTTGAAGATGAATGTAGATGGAGCTGTAAGACTAGATGGCTCAGATGGAGGTATAGGGGGTATTTTAAGAGATTGGAATAGCTGCACTCTCCTGAATTTTTCAGAAAATGTTGGTCAAGGTCCCCCTCCAGTTGCTGAGTTAAAGGCTATAAAGAGAGGCATTGAAGTATTTTTGTCTTCTTGTTGGGTTTCTGTTAGTAGGTTGATTGTTGAGAGTGATTGTAAGTCTGCAGTGGATTGGATTCAGTCCCCGGCTTTGGCTCCTGTTTTTCTATTGCCTCTAGTTAAAGAGATCTCAACGCTCATCTCTGATAGGGTGCATTCAGTTAGGCTGATTCCAAGGGCGTGTAATGGGGAGGCAGACAGTTTAGCAAAGAAGGGGATTGGTTGATAATATGGTCTCATCAGTGGTTTTTCCTGTTTTGTATTAGTGGGTTTATGTTGTTTGTAGAGTTTTTAAACTTTATGTTATCCAGTAAGGAGTTGTTGTTAAATCTTATGTAATTTCTTGTGATCAATAAAATTTTTAAGGTACTCTTTTCCTTCTTCCGCTGATTAAGGAGCTTCCATTCCAAGCTCCATTAAGCAAGAAGGAGGTTTTTAACGAGGCCTGAAATTCCTATCAAAAAAAAATTATCGTATTAAGCTGCTAGCATTCAAACATTTTAACTTGTTGCTGGATGCATATTGATGGCTTTTTGTTTTTGTTAGTCGAATGACTGTAGGCAAGATGATAGAGCTTCTTGGAAGCAAAGCTGGAGTTTCATGTGGTAGGTTCCATTACGGTAGTGCCTTTGGGGAGCCCAGTGGTCATGCGGACAAGGTTGAAACTATAAGGTTACTTACTACCTTTCTTTTCCTTGAACTTTTCCCTATAATGTTTCCTTTCATGCATAGCAACTTTATTATAAACTTTTGATCTTTGTTAGTGAAACCCTCATCAAGCACGGTTTCAGCTACAACGGCAAGGATTTCATATATTCAGGTTTTGCTGCTTACTAACTTTCCTCTCCCCTTTTCTTGAATGGGGCCTACTGCAGGTGTTGAGATTATTAGAGCTGCATTTCCTATTTAAAATGATGCATGATGAGTATGTCTATACTTCGATAATAAGAAAAATTAGAGTTTAAAACTTTTTTCTCAAGAAGTCACAAATATATAAAATTCGTTGCTAGGGAATAAGTATTGAGAAGCTCTCTATTGACAGCCATCTTTAATGATGTGGATTCATTTGGTACATTTACTAACAAACTGACAATAAGTTATGGTACCATACTTATATGACTGAATTTAGGATTTCTTACCAATTTGGATGTGTGTATGAATATAGATGAGTACAGAATTCTGAATTGAAGTAAATGAAAATTAGAGAGGGGGCCTAGAAAATGCAACTATTTTATATCCTAAAACTAGGCCTTTCACCTTCAAAGAATGTGAAATTCTCTTGCAGTTTCAGTGCACAAAAATATATCTATAATAGTGATATTGCTTTTCTTACGTTCTCTGATGTTTAACGAAGATGATCGGCAGCTAATAACATTGTATAAATGTATATTTTAGGTCCTTGATTTGAGTTCTTTAGTCACTAAGATGTACTCCCAAACTTTAGTAGAATCTGAAATGACCAATTCCTGAGAAATTGTTATTGAAACTAAAAAATGGAGTAGAGAATATATTATAATTCTCATAATCAGATGGAAAGCAGAATAAAGCTATGTTACTCCGACTCGTTTGTGTGTTTCAGATACAAGATGTGTCCTGCATGTGTATGATCAAGCTTTTTATTTACCATGTATGGGGAGGGTCCTTGAGGGCTCATATCTCTATTCTGATGTCCTGATATACACCCAACATGTGTGTCAGACATGGTACTTGAAAAACAAAAAGTTGGAGTTGCATGGGAATATAGCGGAATTTTTACCATTATGATTGTCGTGTATCATGCACCTTCCTAGATTGACTTGTGACCTTGGATACTTCATTGAGATGTTGGGAAACTTGATATTTCTCTGTTCTGGATATTCAAAATTCTTATATAGGTTGTTACAATGAATATCTGCAAATTTTCTCCAGGTATCACAGGTTGTCCGTTGCAGGCATATATTTTTATGGGACCAATTTACTACCAGAAGTTAAAGCATATGGTCAGATTTCATTTCTTTATGCTGGTGTTCATATTTATTTACATCGTTAACCTGATTCAAAACTGAAAATTGTTATGCTTATTTAATTTTGCACTTTCTTTGTGTGCAAACTGAATGTTGAATTTTGGGATACTCTTATGTTACTTGGGCTTGGGTGTGAGTGACGAACACGAATATGTGCTCATGAAAGATATGTTCTATCTTTTTAAGATTTCCATTTATTTGGAGTCTTCTTGGAGGAATATATCCCTATACCCATGCAGAATATACATCGATTATGGGGACTCCAAAAAAAATGGTAGTAGTAATATAAGAATTATTTATGGCTGTTGGCGAAAGAACTGCCTTAGTTCTTGTGCTGCCATGATCCTAGAAATAATAATGCATAATTTTTTTTATAGGAAGTGGAGGCCTCGTTAAAAACCCCTTCATGATTAACAGAACACCAATCGTGTTCCTTAATCAGCGGAAGGAGGAAAAGAGTGCCTCAAAATTCATTAATAAGTAAAAGATTACATAAAGTTTAAGACAAACAATCCCCTTACAATAGCAACCCGAAACACACCAAACAACACATCTTTCACTCCATTAAACAACATCCTAATCCAACCAACAGTAACTACCCAATACCAACCTTAGCTAAGCTATCAGCTTCAAAACTTTCCTGTGGCAACTGTCTCATCAAAAAGTTGCTGTCAGAGCTGAATTGTTGAGAAGGGGGGTCAATATAGGCGATAATTTTCTTTGCCCATTATGTAACTTAGAGGAAGAATCTGTTCAACATCTTTTTATTTCATGTCCGGTTTCTTGGGTTCTGTGGACTAAACTCATAGGGTTCTGGGGTGTACGGTTAGCGCTTCCTTCTAACCCTCCCAGTCTGCTCAGTTCGTGGGAGGTATTGAGGCCTAATTCTGTGATTTGGCAGTTTATCCTAGGGGTAGTTTTTTGGTCTATTTGGAAGATTAGAAACGAGATCATCTTTGATAAGGGAAAGTTGGACATAATTTCTTTGTTTTTTACTGTGCGTTTTAGATTAGCAAAGTGGTTCCTGGCTAAGTTTCCCCTAATCACATTGCAAGTTGATTCTCTTATTGGAGATCCTACCCTGGCGGACAATCTTACTGCTCATAAGACTGTGAATAACACTGTGTTGAGCTGGATTCCTCCTCCAGTAGACTTTTTTAAGATGAATGTGGATGGGGCTGTTAGTAGTGTGTGGAGGTTGGCGGGTATTGGGGGTATTCTAAGGGACTGGAATCGGGTTACGCTTACGTCTTTTTCAGAGAAAGTTGGTCCAGCTACTCCTATTCTAGCAGAATTAAAGGCAATTAAAAGAGGCATTGATTTCTTTCTTTCTTCAAGTTGGGCGTCGAAGGGTAGGCTTATCATTGAAAGTGATTCGAAGACAGCAGTGGAATGGATTAATGATGGCATTTCTTCTCCTGTTTTTCTGGCTAATTTTGTTAAGGACATCGTGTATTCTGTTTCTGCTAGACAGGTTGTTATTAGATGGATTCCTAGGTGCTGTAATTGTGAGGCAGATAAATTAGCTAAGGAGGGAATTGGTTGACTGTTGTTGCTGTTTTAGCTGCTGCGTTTGTTTAGTGGGGATCTGGTCTAGAAGTTTTTAAGTTTTATGTGTTGTTTGTAGAAGTAGTGGTTGTATCTTATGTTACTGTTTTATTTTAATAAAATTTCTAAGGCTCTCTTCTCCTCCTTCTGCTGATTAAGGAGTTTACTTCTAAACTCCCTTAATCAAGTAGGGGATTTTGGTGAAGGCCTTTCATTCCTATCAAAAAAAGAAATAGCTGTTCAGTCAACCCTTCTGATAGCACCCTCCAAAACTCTTAACAACAACAATATCTATCCCTAAATGAAGAAAAAACTCCTGGACAGCTCTCTAAATTCTTAACCCAATCCACAGCAAGATGCTATCCGAAGCAACGGTCCACAGATACTTAAACCTCTGAAGAATGGCTCAAAAGAAGTACACCCCTCTTGATAACAATAAGCTCCAGCAAAGTTGGAGGGCCTGGATCTGCAGATACTATGAAAGAACCCATCAACTTGTCAGCCTCAATATCAACTGACTCATTCCATAAAAACCAAAATCTAACCCAAAAGCCATGAGCTTCCACACTATAAGAGTACAAAAAGCAAGCTTCAAAATCACTCTATCCGCCTTTCTACCACTTATTGCTCGTCTTGTCGTCGGAGACCATCCTAACCTCCAACTCCATTCAATAGTCATATGCGACTCACCTGAAACTTCCACTTCTTTCACTGCTATAGTTTTCCGAAATCAAAAGCACTTGTGAGCCATCAAGTTCAGTCAATTCTTCCTCGCATTGCACCCTCTTCTGATTATCTAGTAGTTTTAGGACTCTACTTTATGTAACACAACCTATTTAAAGGCTGTTCTTTTTTTTTCCCTTTTTAGTTGAATAGAAAAATCAGTGAAATACTCGTCACAAAAATTCACATTTTCCATTCAAAAAGAAGAAAAAGGCATTCCAAGTTTTCATACAAAAGAAGCTTTAAATTTTCCATTAATTTTTGAAGGACAGCCTGTCTGTGAGAGGACTGAAGGTGTGGAACTACTAAAATTCCTCGCTCATTTACTTTTTCCTCGTTTTGTCTGTCTTTTTGGATGAAAATAAGTAATGAAAATAAGTAGTTTATACCAAGTTAAGAGGTCATGTTTGAAAACTGTTTCAAATGGTTGCCTACCATCACTTTATTTTTAAAGCAGCAACTATAGTTCCATTCTTCAAAAGCCTCTTCATTGTCTCTCATATCAGATGTCCTCTCCAAACTCGGCTTGTCACTCAAATAACAGACTTAGTTATCTCTGAACAGGAAGGTTGAGAATTTCTTTTAGGCTAGTCTTCTTTTTTATCTTTTAAGCCGAATCTCAAAAATTACTATGGGTACGTGTGTGAAGAACAAATGTCATTCCATATACGTCCCCAGAAATCTCTCCGATGTTCCCAACTAATTCCAGCCTTACCCCTTCAACATGGGACGTCTTTAGTATGTACCCAAGCTGTACCTGGCCCGTACCAGTCTCAACAACGTATTGTGTACTTGAAACGGCATTGAGTTACCGTACCCGTGCTTCATAGGTTATTCTGCCATATTACTTTGGCATGTAATTGTAATAACCTCAATATGCATATCGTTTTTTTTCTAGCTTACCTGATGGTTGTCTGACACTTGCATATTTTCCTTTCTAAATATGACATGCCCATTAGGTCCTGGATAAAATGCATGCCAGAGGTAATGGGCCCCGAGTTATGATCACGAGACAGCCTACTGAAGGGAGAGCTCGAAAAGGAGGTTCTTTTCTTATAGTTGGATGATTTTCTGTCATAATTTTCACTTTCGGAAGTATCATTTGTTTAACAAGTGCGAACTTGTGTATGCTTTCTCCACAGGGTTACGAGTTGGTGAAATGGAACGCGATTGTCTAATTGCTTATGGTGCCAGTATGTTGATTTTTGAGCGCCTGATGATATCCAGTGATCCTTTTGAAGTCCAGGTATTTGGTTATGCTTTTGGTGCTTGCAAATTGACTAATTGAATTCTAACAAGGTGCTGGTCATGATTTGTTTAGAATTATCAAAGTCTACAACAATGTTATGTTGTAGTGCTTAAGAAATGGCAGCATCTAAAATAATGCTCGAGGTTCTTGGCGTATACTGTAGTTTTTTTCATCACATAACAAACTTGGAAGTTAAATCCAGCATCAAATCACTCCCAGATATGAAAATTTGGTCTTCTTGCTTAAATTACATCTAGTCATTTAGGATCACAGGTTACAAATGGTTTTTTTTTTTTTTGCTTTAAACCCTCAAGTATATTAACGTTGAAGTTGCTCATATTGAACATTGTAGTTCAGTTCAAGAATAGCTGTTATTTCATATTTCTTAACATTGAATGAAGCATTACTTGTGAATTTTATTTATCCATAATTTTCCGTATGCTGCATTCATTTTACAGTAACATGCTGGGGATTATTGATAGTAATCAGCTTCAATCTCATAGAAACCATCTTTTGACACAGGTTTGCAGAAAATGTGGTTTGTTAGGATACTACAGTCATAAGCTGAAAACCGGGATTTGTTCCTCATGTAAAAATGGCAATAATGTTTCTACTATGAAGCTACCATATGCATGCAAGCTTTTAATCCAGGTAGACTTGGCAAACATTTTTGTCATACAAATGACTATTTGCAACTATCACGTGACTGTATGGACAAGGACCTCCTCAAGTCAAATATCCAGTTTTGTTAGTAGGATGCTTGTTGGAATCTGATCTCAAAATTAATATTGTTGGTCACTAATATCATTTGTTTATTGAGCAGCATCATTTCTGTACTCCTTATTGTTTCATACAGGTTTGCATGTGATTTGTTAGTCCCACTTGTGAGCACATGTAGTTGATAGGCATGTATTTCATCAATGTTACTCAGACTTGGATTGTAAGTGCCGGATGCAAGTATGCCTTTAGTGGTATGTCATACCTTTTCAAAAAAAAAAAAAGATGGTATTTGGAGGGGAGCCTTGGAGAGTGTAATATCCTCATATTCATGTACTGAGATATGCTTTTGACTTGGAGTATTTGAATAAAAAATAAAGAGTAACAGCAGCATAGTTTTTCCTTCGTCTGCCTCATTAAAGGTGCAGATAGCTCATTCCCTTACTCCTTTTCCTTGTTGATAGCAGAAGTAACACCTCATCCGACCTCAGCCAGTGTCTGTATATCAGTTATTTCCTAAAACCGTCCAATACAAAAGGCTTCAGATTCAAGTCGTCAGTCAAAAAGGAATTGAATAAGAAATGCTAAATGACTTGTGTCTTAAGATTTCTGCCCTAAATAGATAACAAAATGGCGAAAAAAAGGCAGTTTATTATTTCTGTTATCACGTGTCAAACAAGCACTGTTTCTATCAAGTTTAAAATTTCATAGAGTTGAAATATTCATATGATAAGATTTCTCTATAGTTGATTCTTATAAACTTGTACTAGTTATGTCAGAAAATGATGTGAATGCAAACATGTTGATACATAAGAGGTCCATGGTTGCCAGTTTCATTTGAGCATTTAATAAGAAAAATATTCGACTTTATTTTCAGTCCCTTTGTTTTGAACATTAGTATAAATTCAGATAGTTGGATAATGAATTAGTTTTCTGAAGTGTCTTGTTTGCTATGGTTGCTTAGGTGTTGTAACGTATTCATGAATTGATTAAATTTCTTTTATTAAGCTTTTTGTTTACTTTCCTCGTACCAGGTTTATCCATTCTGATTTTTTCTTACATATTCAGTCCAATGATCATTGAATGCTGTGCTTACTTTTGCATTCGGTCGATGTGGTTATTTTCTTTTCTTATGCATCCATTGCAATCATTTCAGTTCGTTTTTCCTTTGTTGGTAACATTCTTCCCATTCCATGGCATTCTTTCAGGAACTCCAATCAATGAATATTGTTCCGCGTTTGAAATTAGCAGAGGCTTGACGTGATCATATGCTCGGACATTTTCGAGTTCATGTTTGTTCAGGTATCATCTGAAAATTAGGCAACAAATAGTGTGTTAATAACAATAGATAATACTTGTTATTTTATAATTTTGATAAGCATTTGAACTGTTATATTGTATGGAATGCTAATTGTTCTATTCACAACTTATGAAGGGCTTTTCGACATTTTTTTACTTCTATTTTGGTCTCCATTCGTTGAAAATTTAGTGATGATGTTAATGTGGTATTTGTTAATTATTTTTTAATGTTGACGTGGTGTTGCCTTTATGATGGTATAGGAATACACTGTTAATTTTTATTTAAAGCCCATAATTAGTATTTTATCTAAAGTTTATCTATTAAAATAAAATTAAATTATTTTATTGATTTGTCATGTTATCAAACTAGTGGTATTCAATGTCCTGGTGACAAAAATTTAATAAAATAATAATATAATATATTTAAAAAAATTGGTTAGTGAAAATGTCAAAAATATAAAAAAAATAATTATATCAACTTGGACCGATTTTAATCACAAATTTAAGCAATTTTTTAACAACTTTGTCGCTTAAAAAATTATTATATCAAAATCAAACATTTTTTTTTGATAACATAGGACTTCCCAAAAGGTTAGGCTAAAGAATCTGACTCTATAAGACAATTTCCGGAGAGCCTCAAATAATCCACCACTCTATCCCTCGTTTTTTTCTGGATTCTCAACTAGCGTGGTTCGAAGTTCGAACCTATGACATGAGATCAGCTTATAATTTCAAAAGTCTTTGTTTTGTCAATTGGGCTACGCCTGCGGTGGTAAAATCAAACATTAGTTCAACAAAAATTGTCCTTTTATGAGACATGTAAATATCTTATGTTGTCTTAAATTATAGTTTAGGGTTTAGGGTTTATGAAATATTAGAAACTTGCATCGTTTGTTTAATCCCCAAAATATCTTTTTAAGAATATAATGATAGATTTTTTATTTGTTTTACAAGATCGGTCTATTTCAAATTAGTGATTAAATTGCAAATTGTAGAAGGAACTTGTTCTGAAAATCCAACTATCCTACCAAGAGAACAGTGTTTGCATTTTCTGTAATATTCAGAATAGAAATTTATATGATTAAATTTTAAAATACAAATACGTTTATAATACGCCTAATAATTGGTTATTTAAATACAATAAAAATTTTGAGTTTAATAAATTAATTTTCTAAAAAATAATCCAAAATTATGTTATTTTATTAGTAACAAATGCAAATAATCGATATGTTACTTTCAAAATAAACATAAATCAGATAATCAATACCATTCAATCATTATCCTCTCCTAGTTTTTTCTCATTGGTAAGCCGTTTATCTCCTTTTTATCTTTATTTATATTTATTGTCTTTTTATTTTATCTCTTTTTTATAATAAGTTTACTTATATGATACGTTTTCCTTTATCTTTATAGTATGTTTTCTTCTACCTTTTGACACGTTTTTCTATCGGTTGGCTGTTATTTTCATTTATCTTTTTAAGGGTTAATTAGACATGCCACGACTGATCAAAATGGTGAGATATATTGTTGACCTTCTCTGTTTGGAACCTTCGGATTGAATTTGGATATTCATTATGCGTTCATGGATAGCTTTTCACGTCGCCCGATTCTGATTTGTGATTTGTCAATGATCTTTCAGTAGCTTGATCCCCTTTTGTGGTTCGTTTATTGATGCGATCAGATATGTTTGTATATATATTTGTTCGAGTTTTCTTGATTAGATTTAACATTTCCTCGTATGGTTCTTATGTGATCTTTAAGTTGCTAGTTTTGTTTTAATGATTATAGGAAATTGTCCTAATTATGTGCTTAACTTACGGTTATGATTGTAAATGTTTACTGTAATGGAGTATGTTTCCTATTTTGAATAAAATTAGTGATTTCTTTTAAAAAAAACAAATAATCAATATCCAAATATTAATATTAACATTCCCCTCAAAGGATAATAATTATAAATCTAATATATATATATATAGTCAATTGCACCATATGTATTCAAAGTATGAGCTTCATTTTAAACAGATCCCTAAACTTTTAAATATTTCAATTTCATCCTTAAAGTATGAGTATCATTTCATATTAGTCCTCAAATTTTTGAACATTCCAATTTCATCCACAAACTATGCCCCAAAACTTTTTGAACATTCCAATTCATCTCACGCTACATACATATACTAATCACATCCCTTGTTAATAAAACTGTTAGGCCGAGTTGTATTATTAAATGTTTGAGGGAAAAAAACAAAATTTAGGTTACATTATGGTTGAAATTAATTACATATTTATATAAATTTGGAGATAAAATTGAAATATTCAAAAGTTTGGGTACCAATTTAGAAAGAGGGTCATAGTTTAGGGATGAAATTAGGACATTTGATGCAATTAACTCTCTCTCTATATATATACTTTTATATATAAAGAACTAAAAAAATAAAACGTTTCGATCCATCAATTTAATGGGCATCTTGTTTAAAGACTAAGAGCATCTTCAAGGAAACAAGATTGATAAACTTGATAAAATAGATCAATATATATAGTTAGGACCAACTTACAATATATAACTGTCAAATTTTACACGTTTTTTGAATGGTTGGATCAACTGAATTTAATAACAGAGATTTAAACTTTTAAGCCAAGGATTTTTTTTCTTTAATATATACAGAGAGGAAGAGAGTGAAGAAATTAAGGGTCAAACATTAGCTTCATCAATAATTGTTCAAAATTTTAAACATACTAAAGCATCCAATGTCACTCCTCAAGGCTACATGTTTCCCACAGGACTTTTCCTCTCAAAGAAGCAACAAAACCTCAATACCAATACAAAATAAATAACCTTTTAAGCAGAAGCTACTGCAACCTTCTTCCTTGGTGCTGCTTCAGTACCTATAGATCACGATCCACCGCGGAATAAAAAATAAGAACAATATGAAGGAAAAAAAACATTTTTACAACAGAAAATGTTCATAATTCATACACAAAGAAAACTAAAATCAGAAGGCAATGAACTTAAGGAAATTAGCATTTTCCTACCTTCTCTGAAGCCCGTCTTGAACCTGCGAGGAACGTGGCGGAGATACCTCATCCTACCGGTTCCGGTTGTCTTTCTTCGGATTGCCTTCACACTCCAGTTGTCTGAATTCCACAATTAAAGAAAAAATTCCCCTTGGGTTTAACAATTAACACAATCATAATCCAAACGAAAAACATTTAATATCCAATTTATAGCCTGTACTACCTGGAATCGGGTTACATATCCGTAGCCATGTACATGGATACTTCAAGAAGAATAAAGAATCAAACCAACATACTCTATTCATAATAATACCCTATCCCCGTTTACATGATCGCCAATATAAGAACATTTATTGTAAGATTAAGCTAAGAAATTCTAAAACCATGACCTGTAACTACAAGTATTGTTATGCAAGTTTATATTTCAGAAAGAAATACATTCACATTCTTGCAAGTATACGAGTTCATAGTTTTTCAAAGAAATAAAAATTCAGAGCAGATCCCTCTTTAATTTTCATTAATCTTAGGCAAACGAACTTTTATCCGAAAAAGCAAAAGGGAAACTACAAACCCAGAGAATCAATCAACTAAACAGAAAGACATCATATGGGGCAGGGGATTCAATCAATAAAAACACAAACAAAAATTAGAAGATTTAGAGTTGAAAGAGAGGAGGAGGAGCAGGCAGCTTACAAGTCCTCTTACGGGCAGCGGGGAAAGCACAGGCAGCACAACGGCTCTTCTGGAGGTGGAAGCTGCGGCGGCCACATCTGACGCAGAGAGTGTGGGTCTTGTTCCTTCTTTTACCGAAACTCCCGGTTCCCTTTCCCTGCAAATAACAATATCCATTTCATTGACAAATATATTGAAGCAAACTGTGGGAAAGGAAGAAAAGAATGGTGTCGTTTACCATTGGAACTGAGTTAATTCGGTAGAAACCCTAAGATACGGTCTTGAACTAATAGATAGCGGCGGAGAAGAGATGTGTTTATATTGGTGACCCAAAAAACAGAGGTGTTAACTCCAAGTACTTTGCTGACGTGTTAATAAAATGATTAGTTTTTAGTTTGACCCTTGATTTATTGATAAATATCAATTTAACCTCATAATTTACATAAAATATTTATTTAATTGTTAAATTTTTATATAAAATATTAACTTACTCAAGAATCTAATCAAAGTTCACATTGTTGATCACCAATCATTGTCGTTGTTGGTCATCGTCAAAATCTATCACTCACCTCTTATCGTTGTCACTGATATTCATGAGACCTCAAAAATTTTAATTAATCAATTTTAACCTCTCGAACGTGAATATAATATCTATATTATTAAAAATTAAAAAAAATAAAATAAAAATAAAAATCAAATGAATGTCTTTTGCACTCCTTTCCTCGTAAAAAGGAATTTAAAACATATAAATAATAAGGTGGTCTAGTGAGATGAGACACTAAAATCCTTAAATAATGTTAGAAGTTTAAAATTTGGCGTTTGCAAAGCAAATTGAGTTGGGATAGTCACTTTGCTTATGCAATATTCGATATGGATTAATCAATTAATAGATCATATACAAATGATGATAATATAAAAAAAATAAAACACTGAATTAATAATATAAATAATTAAAGCATTTTGTTTATTTGTGACCAAAATAAGATAAACAAAAAATAATGACGTTAATTGTAGTTTAACCCGATAATAAAACACTGCATCGTCCAGCCCCGGACATTGTTTTGTGTAACAAAAATTGCTTTGCTGTTTCATTATTCGTACACTTTCACAACTCACAAGACAAAAAACTGTCTAAAAAAGCTTCCATTTTTTTCAACTTTAAACGGTAGCTCAAGATCGTTCAATTATTCGATTCAATTCTGGGGGAATCATGGGTTGTTCTCAGTCGAGGATCGAGAACGAAGAAGCGGTTACCCGATGCAAAGAGCGAAGACACTTCATGAAAGAAGCGGTCGCCGCGCGAAACGCCTTTGCCGCCGCCCACTCTGCTTATGCCATGTCCTTAAAGAACACTGGCGCCGCCTTAAGTGATTACGCCCACGGTGTGGTCCAGAATCCCAATCCCCTTCCTCACCCCAGGCCGTCCTTTGTGGGACCTCCACCGCCGCAACCACCTCCGGTAGACAAGCTCTTACCTCCGCCCCCTCCTCCCGTGAACCTTTCCGGCGATCCGGTGGTTCCAATCCAACGATCGGCTAGTATGCCGATACAGATGCCGTTGAAAGGGAAGCAAAAGGAGATGTCGACGCGCACGATCATGGAAGATGAGGAGGAGGACGAGGACGTGGAAGCCAGTGGTTCGTTGGTTAGGCGGAGATCGCGGAATTATCGAGGGAGTGGTAGTGGCGGAAGGAGTAGGAAGGAACTGAGGGAAGAAGAGGAAGATGACGTGGAGGAAATAGTAACATCAACGACCATTCAGGCGCGTGCAATGCAATCACAGCCGCCCCAGGATTCAACTTACTATTACTTCTTTCCCACGGCAGATAGTGTGCCCGGACCGAGTTTAGAGGGTGTAGAAGAAATGAGGGGGGAGGATAATAGGGAGGTTGAAAGGAAGGTGTCTGAGGAAATGCCGAGAAGAGTAGAGGACGAAGAGGTGGTGGAGGAGAATATGGGGGAGGAGGAAGTAGTCATGGAGAAAGGGCAGAAGGCGACAGTGGAGGTGGAGATGCCTGTGCCTATGGCAGCTGGGGCTGGGAAAGTTAGCAAGAAAGCTGCGAAAGTGGGTTTTGGTAGTACAGTAGAGAAGAAGTTGGGAAAGGGGAGTTTCACTTTGTTGCAGGTGTTTACTGAACTTGATGATCATTTCTTGGTGGCCTCAGAGAGCGCTCATGAGGTTTCCAAGATGTTGGAAGCTACTAGGTTGCATTATCACTCTAATTTTGCTGATAATCGAGGTAATTTGGATTTTTTGGTATTTCTCTTACATGGATAAGTACTATCACAGTGAATTTTGATTATCATTCAATTTCATAGTGTTTGGTATTTCATCAATTCAGCTTGAGAATTCTAAGATTGGATTTCCAATGTTAATAGCTCTTTCATGAGTTTGCCAAAAACTTTGGTACTTGTACTCAGGGTGAGAGTTTTAGATATGGGTATGTCTCCAACGTTTGTATGTTCAATTTTTGTAAAGCGTTTTCATGCAGTTGAAGGGTGTTTTGACAAAAATGTGTCCGGTCTTGGATTGACTGTGGCTATAAGTAGATATGGGTTTTCATTCCTTTGTAACATTGAATTAGCAGAAAGAAAATTTTCAAGGAATTGGATTTTGAGTGACGGATCTTGCATGAAGCATAGAACTAGTGAATACTGCATATCAGTAGTTTAAACTTTGTTATAGATTCAGGCTATTTTGACTTTGAAGTTTTTGATACAATTTGTGGATAACTTTTCTTTTCAAGAATGGAGATCATTTTATCTGGTTCTGTTTTAGAGTCTAGCTATGCCACACCATAAGATTGAGTTTAACAATTTGGCTAATAACTCTGTTCTTTTTCTCCTGGAATTGCATATATTATTCATGTAATGTAGCTTAGACTGGGCTTTTATTATATTGATTCATGCTTGCAGGACACATTAATCACTCCGCAAGAGTAATGCGAGTTATCACTTGGAACCGGTCATTTAGAGGATTAAATTTCGACAATGCTGATAACGCAAACGATGATTTTGTTTCGGAGGAGAATGAGACCCATGCCACCGTGTTGGATAAAATGCTTGCATGGGAGAAAAAGCTTTACGATGAAGTGAAGGTATATTATAGAATTTATTCTTCTTGTTGTGCCATTTGTCCTCTTATTCATTTTGTACTGATTGACTGATAGCTTCTTGATAAATTAAACCGGCATAAAGTTGTTTTCTTTGTCCTCTTATTCCTTTGTCATGATTGACACTCAATAATTCAGGGCCAACCTGTACAAGTAATTACCTTGTCTTGAATAGTACTTTGCACAAGGCTAGAGATGTTATAGTTGTGCATTAATTCACCGCTGGTACTTGCCTCTGGGCCCATATTTTTTACATTTATGACATAGTTCAGATTGTTACTGCTCAACGTCAAGTTCTTTTTCTTTGCTGTCTGAAGAAATGATACCTCAAAATAATGAGTCACCATTGACATCGACACATATGAGATATGGATCATGTGAACCCATGTATGCTTGTATAGACAGCGATCATCAGAAAGCTGTAGCTACATGAAGCAAAAAAAAAAAATTTAGTCATTTTAGTAGTGTCTGATTGACGATGAAGGAAATGGAAAATGTCATTCTGGTGCCTACTTTCGTTCAAGATATTGTACTATTTTTTTATTTTTCGATTTTCTTTAATGCTAGTGTATGTTTTGCTTCTTCAAATATACATATCTTCTTCTGTCAATTACAAATGAGCTTAGCTTCATCTTCTGGCATGAAATAGTGACTGATATTGAGTTAGTTGCTTAAAAAGTAACCTTTTTATAATATCATAGGGGTACACCAACACCTTTTGAAATGACAGCATTTGTCTTCTTTTGTTAGATTCGTTAAATTAAGCACTTCGTTGATGGGTTTGATTGTTTATGGATAGGCTGGTGAGCTTATGAAGTTTGAGTACCAAAGAAAGGTAGCCACTCTAAACAAATTAAAGAAACGAGGTACCAATTCTGAGGCACTCGAAAAGGCAAAAGCAGCAGTAAGTCATCTACATACTAGATACATTGTCGACATGCAATCCATGGATTCAACAGTTTTGGAGATAAATTGATTACGAGATGAGCAGCTCTACCCAAAACTTGTTCTGCTCATTGATCGGTAAGTTGAAGTCCATTGTTTTAACTCTATACTAGACTTTCTCAAAAAGAAAAGAAGGCTGAGCTTGATCTAATAAAGTTTTGAATGGCAGAGCAGCCCCCTTTTTTTAGTATTAACATTCACTTATGGATACCTTACAGTCTTAGTTCTCTGCCTCTTTTTATCCCCTTCCATCGGGGACTTTTTCATGATTTTTATCATCAATTTACAGTGTTTGCATAGGCTCTATCTAAGATCCTTTAGCAGATGGCGAAGTCCTTGAACCTTTTCCTTTGAAGTTTTTGTGGTGATCATTGTGATGTGTCAATTTGCAGGATGGCAACAATGTGGGAAACCATGAGAGTTCAACATGAAGGCCAATCTAGGATTGTGGCAATCCTGAGGGATAATCTGGACCTCTCTCAATCGCCGAAGGAAACAAGCGAGCACCACCATGAGCGTACAATCCAGCTGTTAGCAATTGTGCAGGATTGGCACATGCAGTTTTGTAAGCTTATAGACCACCAGAAAGAGTACATAAAAGCCCTAAACAATTGGTTAAGGCTAAATCTCATCCCCATCGAAAGCAGCCTTAAGGAGAAAGTTTCTTCGCCACCAAGGATTGAAACTCCACCTATTCAAAGGCTCATCCTTGCTTGGCTGGAAAAACTTGAGAAACTTCCAGATGAGATTGCAAGAAGTGCCATTAATAACTTTGCTCACGTGATTGATACTATCATGCAGCATCAACTAGATGAAATGAAGCTGAAGGAAAAATGCGAGGAAACTAGGAAGGAGCTTGCGAAGAAGCAACGACAGTTTGAGGACTGGTACCATAAGTATATGCAGAGAAGAACACCGGAGGAGCTGGAACCAACCAGGACGGATGACAACCCTAGCAATGATGCCGTCGCTGAGAGACAACTTATGGTGGAAGCAGTTAAAACGAAATTGGAAGAAGAGGAAGAGGCCTACCGGAGGTTATGTATTCAGGTGAGGGAGAAGTCTTTGGTGAGCCTTAAAACTCGGTTGCCAGAGCTCTTCAGAGCAATGACAGGTATTGCCTTTGCTTGTTCAAAAATGTATGGGGAGTTAAGGGCCATCACTGTCTCAAGGAATCCAAATCATAGCTCATAATACTTATTGCATTTGTAATTTTTTAATGTATACTAGTATTTTACGCGCTTTACATAGATACACTCAGACCAACAGGAAGGTATAGGATGAACTCTAAAGTGCTATGATACGTCGTACGAGATTCTTCATTTTTCTTAAAGTATTCATGTTTAGTATTAATATCCGAACTCATTCGAAAATGAGTATGGATATATGATACTCCAAATATATTTGATGTTTTTGAGGATTGAGGTTTGAATGTTTTGGGTGGAAATGATAGGTGTGTTTGAGCCAAAGGGGGTTGCCCTTATGATGGTTGTCTCCTACCTTTATATGATTGTGTTGGTGTTTTACCTCCAAGTGAAATTTTATTACCTATGCATGTCCTTTATTTGTTGCTTGCAAGTTTCTAACGGTCACTTCTATAGTTTTTATGCAAGTGTACATTAATCACCCCTTTACATTCACCATGTTTTTTATGTGTTTTACCCCCATGTTACAAAGTTGTTTTTTTTTAAATGTTTGAGGGGATTATAAGGTAGTATCTATTCAGAACTTTCTTAGCCTTTAACAATACATATATTTAAAAGTACACGTTAGTTTTAACTTTTTTTTTGGATGCCCTTCTGGTACTTAAGGTTTCGCCCTAATTAATACGGATCGATCTGAGTCACACCTGATTTTAATGGGTAAGTCTCCTGGCGAGGATTTTCTATATACACAAGGATTCAAACTCGAGACATACTTAAGCGATATCAAGTTACTTATCACTTAAATCAACATCATTAGTATATTATAACTTTCTTTAGTAGATATTAATAATGGTACAAAACTCTCAAATGTATAATTTTAAAAAATTGTATTATTTTAATTATCCAAAAAATTATAAAATTATTCATTTTTCTTAACAACATTTACTATTTTAATTAATTATTTAAAATGTTGCGAGAATTTTACTTTTTATTATGGATATTATAACTTTTTGAATAACTACTCATAATGGTACAAACATTCTTAAATATTCTAAAAAGAAAATTTATAACATTTTGTATCCCATAAAAATCACGAAAAAATTAATTTTTTTGTTAAAACACGTAAAGTCATAAAATCATTTATAAATACAAAAGGAAAGTTTATCAATATTAAGAAATAAAACAGATTTTCGGACTCGGATATAAAAACAAAATACAACCTACATGCCCCCTAAACACATACATTGTACTTGTAACACCCCCAACCCGTACCCGATCCGGCTACGAGTCCGAGATGTCACATTGACTTTTCAAAACCTTTACTTGAACAAAATAGTAAATAATTTTAAAACTTTTACTAAATACATTTGATTAATTTACATAAAATAATATCATATGATTTTACAAACCAATTAGAGCATATCAAATTCCAAAACTTTATTTACATGCCAACTACCTCTATATACCAATTACATATATTTTCTGATCTGAACTTTGTAAAGGAGATACTGACCTGCCTAGCTCCACATTGCTCTCTATATTCTTTTCGAACCTACGTGTGAAATAATCACACGTTAAGTCGATGACTTAGTGAGGCAAATAAAACATCTAATAGAAATCATAAAACATTCCATATAACAAAACACATGAACATTTAATACTAACTTATCATACAAAATCATATAACAATTTCATAAGAAATCACACATCTTTTTTATATAACAAATACACTCATGTACATATATCATCATCTACTTTCTTAGCATTATCATATATATTATTATCATTATTTATATCATTATCATCAAATTATTTATCACATGATCTTGTATTTATCATTTCTGCATATCATATAAAACATATATCATTTCACCTAGAAACACCCATAACATCACACAATTCATATAACGCATTTCGTATAATCAAAAACATATCCATCATATATATATATATATATTGTATTTGTTATTGTTTCTTTATTAGCCCATGATACACTAGTGAGAACTAAAGATATTTGAGTGCATTGAGGTTGTGCACAAATGCTGTCACCACAGCTCGTATAAATGCACCGAAGTGCCGCGTAGAATTGCACTTTAGTGCCACGTAGAATTGCACCGTAGTGCCATATAATAATGTCCATAAGGACCACATATCATTCCTTAAGAACCATATACATATGCCAAGGATCACATAGGTGTCTCAACAGACCCCATACATGTTCCAAAGAATACATATATGTCCCGAAGGACCGCGTAGACCCTCGACTCTTGGCATGCCAACTATACCCCTAGCTCTCATGACACATAACATAGGCATTATCATTTATTTCATTTCATATTCATACATTCATATTACTTATCTCTTATCGCATGTCTGATCTCTTATAATCATGTAATCACATAGCTCATGTCATTTCTTGTGAAATCACAAATATCATGTAATACATATAACTCATATACTTTCTCATATATTCACATAAGTAATATCATAGGACTTATATCTTTTCATATGGTTTATGTTCTATTCTCTTATATTCACATACATGTAATACATATCAAACATGTTTACATAAATCATTTCTATATAATTCACATGTACTTATATTCTTTTTCATATACTCACATAGTCATATAATATAATATTTCATATGACCTCATATATCACATCACTTATATACATATCCAAATATTCATAGATACATATCACTTAAATTATTCCTATTTACATAATTTATGGTCATATAGTTCCTATCACAAGTCACTTATCTTATCTCTTCTTCTCATATGTTCATATTTATCATACAACACATAAGTTTTATTACATATTTATATCACATTCATATATCACTAATTCATAATATAATTTACATCGCATCATCTATCTTATTCTTTATTTCTTAGTATACACTTATATTACATAACCTATATTATACTGATAAACATATATATTACTTCTATTATTTCTTTTATATACAAATTAATCAATTTACTTAATTCAATTTCATATAACTCCTATAATTTTCTCATATCACTCCATATTCAAGTTTCCTAATTGATACATTATTCTCATTTCATTCTATAACTCAATCTTATTTAGTTTCTTTCGTTTCTCGTGGATTCACTTTCATCATATTCTTTTATTTTTACATATTTTATTTCATAATCCTATACTCCCTTTATCATATGATTTATGTAGGTTCTCTTATAACTCTTCATAAACATATATTTTCCATTCTATATATTACGTAGATCTTATCATATGACTTATTCTTTATACTTACATAAATTATAACACATACAAGAACATATCAGCTCATATAATCAATCATACATACATTTCATGTCATTCGACTACTTATAATCAACACTTCATGCATAATAAAACAACTATAAGAAATAGACTTATCACAAGTCCAATTTCCTTATAATCCTATAAAATAAGATGCACTCACCTGGCCTCACTAAGTTAATACCGATCTCTCATATTTCCCTTGATCGATATTATTTTCCAAATGTTCCGGAACTGATTTATGCTCCGTATCTACACAAATATACAATTTAAGGCAATCTATCAAAATCTAACCTTATAACTTGATACTAATAGCTTAAACGACTTTAAGAAATCAACATTTCCATTTTCCTTTAGGGGGTATCGATACCCTACTGGGGGTATCGATACCCTCATAACATTCTGGAATTCTGCTCGTTTGAGAGGGTATCGGTACCCCTTTGAATGGGTACCGATTCCCTTAGCCCAGAAATCATTTTTGAGCTCGAAAATCCACTTGATTCAATTCAAACGCTTCATCTTTCATCCCCTTTCATATTCCTAACTTACATATACATACTTAAACTCATTAATATTCATTTATTTCATCTTTAACCTCAAAATTCCATCTTTCTTATGAAAATCAATAATCATACCAAAGTTTCCATGTTATCTAAACTTAATTATAACACTTCTAACTTCTTATTCTTATAGATGACAAGTCAAATTCATCCTCCAAATTCGTTTAAACCTTCTTATTCAAAAGTTTACTTAAAACCCCATATTCTTTAATCTCTTCTAGTATCTTCATCTTTGAGTTTTTACTTATCTTTAGACTTCCTTAAGCTTTCTTACTTTCCAAAGAATCAAAACCAACTTAGAATTCAAATAATAATCAACTAATAAAAATTCTCACCTTAGCTCTTGGCTTCCATGCGTGAAGAAGAAAGGAAAAGAAGAAAACTCTGGAAACTCATTTCCCCTCATTCCCACATTTTATATCCCTTAAAAGAGAAATAAAAATCTTCTCTTAGAAAAGACCATAATACCCTTATTACTTTACTTTCAAACTTTACTATTAAATCCAACCTCAAAATTCTCCAATTAAAATTCTGAACTTTTTAACTTATTTCGAAATTGAACTTAATACTTTCAAAATTCACCTTTAAGTCACTAGCCCGATATTGAGGATGTTACAAATCTCCTATCATTTAAAGAAAATTCGTCCTCGAATTTTCACTGTACATCTTGATAAGAACATATGTTCTAATGTTTTCATGTTGCTTCATTTACTTAATCTTTCCTGTCGCCATCAGAAAACTTACTTTTCATTCCTTTAGTTCTTCATCTACCTTCTTCCCTTATACATCCATATCATATCACTTATCAAGTATACACTAACTTCAGTTCTTATCACTTTGAATCATAAATCAATCAATTTACTCATCAATCTCTAATTGCCTTGCAATCATACTCCAACTTCATTCTATCATCACTTTACTATCTCTTAACTTCTTTAATCATATAAATCATTCTTTGTTTCCCTGACTACTTCTACTTGACCAAGAAACATAACTTTAAACCTTCATCATAGATAATTAAAACATACATCTTGCAGAATCAAACAATCTTTCACATCCTCTAAAAAACCTTTCTTACTTCTAATCAACTTATAATTTATACTTCAACATAACCTTTATCATATCTGATCCTTTAAACTCAATCGTTTCATTTCCTTATTCAATTACTTTTCCCTAATTTAAAATCTTCTTATAGCATAGGTCATATCCTTTCTTCAGACTCTCATACTCTTCTAGGTTCCTTTAGATACACAAATCCGTATCTTCTTAACTATACCACATTTACATTATCTGAATATACTACCA